GGGATCAATGGTACCTTGGCAGGAGCAGGAAGAATAAATGAAAAAAAGCAGGGTTCTACTACCATAGGCTGTATTGTGTGGGTTTTTTATCTGTGAGAGATACCCCCTCACCTGCCTTGGGGTGTGCCAATAAGGAGCAGAACACATAAGTGCTGGAGACGGGATTTGAGGCCAAGACAGAGCATGCCTAATGCTTTCCATAATTCTTCAAAGAAACACATGCTCATAGTTAAAACCAAGGGACTCTAAAGGTTATAAAAAGAACAGAAGACCCTCAGCCTGTTGCCTTTCCCACTTGCCAAGGCCAATGTTTTCAACTTCTTAGCAGTATCTTTTGGAATTTACCTCAGTAATCACAGGCTTCTACCGCTAGTTCTGGATCTATCCATCCTGGACATGATCTACTGACTTCTTGCTACATTAAAGATTCAGCTTTCCCCCGAGCCCTTCTCCACAGCACTCTGGCACCATCCAGGACTATATCCGTAGTCAATTAATGTACCTATGGCCACAAAGATACAATGTCCAGCCGACAGGTGAATGTTGTCTGTCTTGAAGTTCACTTTTCACCTAGGGATTTATTCACTGGGCTCTCACTTTCCAAACCCTTTGGGGTACTGTCCAAGGCAGCTCTACACACTTAGCCCACTTCCTCCAGACACCTCCCACCCGCCAGCCTGTGGTCCATGGTTCCAGCCTCAGAAAGGATTGGGGGCTTGGGCAGTTTAGGTCAGAGGAAGGGAAATGGTTCTAATCACAGTCACAGGTACTTTCTAGACCTTGTTTGCTGACTCATGGCCTAGTGAGGGTGCATTTCAGAGTTTGACCGGTAAAAAGGAAATACATATGTGGTATTAACAACTACACCTGGCAGCCATGACAAGACCACAACAAGAGGTACAATTACCCTGGCAGAGGTGTTCCATGGGAGGGGCTTTACCTTGGACATCTGACTGAAGTCCGCAAAGCCCTCAGCACTATTGAAGGACCCACTTCCAAAGGGGTCTAAAGTTCCAAAGTGACCTGCAAGCAGCACCAACAGAGGCAGAGTTACAGGGCATCCCAGGACACGCTTCCTGGGGTCAAGGGGAAGTGTTGCCTCTGGGTACTCAACAGTCCTGGAAGCAGGAGATCCAGGAAGCCACATTTGTTTGCTGGGGCCATGCATTTGGACAGGGTGATGCCTGTTGTCCCACTGGTTTAGGAGGGGAGAAGAGGAGCCATTCAACAGTAATCCACCACCCACACGATTGATATAGGGGAGTCACCCATGGGTAGAGGTTTTTGTTGAGCTTTCTCTTTGGTGGGGTGATTTGCCTGGTAACCCCCATGCCCACCTATAATATCAAACTATATAACCAATAAGTGAGCTTAGCAAGGCAGCAGGAACAGGCAGGGCCTATTCCCAAAAGCAAGGGGTAATCCGCAAATGATCCTCTCCCTTGATGCAAAAGCCAGTACCCTCAATCAAACTTTGGATTCTTTTAGGAAAGCTTCCAAGGTACAAACCAAAGATTTATACAGAGGAATGAGTAAAGAGTAACTAATAATGTTGGTTATTACTGAATTAATTCCTACTGCTGAGCTTCCTTTCCAGAAAGATGCTAGCACTTACTTGGGAAGATGAGCAGCCATGGGGAGCTCTAGCTGCACTGCCTCAGGCAAGGAGGGTCTGGATGCCACTGACTAATAATATAAACACTTTAGACACACCAGTTTTGGAAATGAAATCATTAACTGGGTGGGCTCCTTCCACTGCCTAAGGAAGAGTTAATAGGAAAATAAACCATCAGTCTCACCTGATCCTTTTGAGGAGACACTGGAGGATGAAAAAGGATCACTGGATTCAAAGGGGTCGAGCTGAGTAAAAAGAAAGAGTGAAAAGCAGTTTGTTTATTGCACAGTCCACTTATTCAACCTCAAATTTTCTTGACATCTACATGCACCATATCTGGTGCTGGGCCTTGGGGAGGATAAAACCATTAAAACCAAACCTCAACAGAGTAAAACCCCAACAGACTGACCCCTTCCTGTAGATAATACCTATAAACTCTGAACAAAATTCAATTAAAAAATAACAACAACAACCACCTGAAGGCTCAGAAAAAATAGTACAGTTGACCCCTGCACAACGTAAGTATTAGGGGTACTGATCCCCCACATAGTTGAAAAATCAGTGTATAAATACGGTCCACTCTCCACATATGCCCATTCCCAACCACAAGTCAAAATTATAACTGACCCGTGAACAACTTACAAATAGAATAAGTGAACCTGCGTAGTTCAAACCCATGTACTGTACAAGGTTGAGTTTTCCATTTTGACAGCTATAGTCTGAGAGTATAGGGAGGCTAAGACTTCAATTAAAAAAATGCCATGTTTCTGGCCTGAAGACCAGAGGATGGAGGCCTGGGACAGTCACACCCATGGGAAAGGGACAGGAATCCAGAAAGGAGAGGAAGAGAATGGAAGCCCCAAATTCCATGATTAGCTCTGCCCAAGTCTCAGGCTTACTTACCCCTGCAGACTGACAGCAGCCTACAGCTAAGGCCACAGGAATGAAAACCACAGGTAAAAGAGGGAGAGTGTGAAGTGTGAATCTCACCAAGTTAATGCCTAGTGAAACAAAACCACCAAGCTCTTTGGAGAAATGTAACAAAATCCAGCGTCCACAACAGAGCACCCATGATGCACAGGATACATTTCTAAATGATTCAATATACAAGAACCAGAAAAATGTGGCCAGTTCTCAAGGGAAAAGACAATCAATGGAGCCAATCCCAAGATGACCCAGATGTTGGAATTCTCAGAGGACAACAACTTTAAAAGAGTGATAACTGTGCTCAGAGAGATAAAGGAAAATATGCTTGAATAAAAAGATAGAGAGACCTTAGTAGACAAATAGAAATTGTACAAAAGAAACAAATAAAAATTCTAAAACTTAAAAGTATAATATCTGAAATACCTTCACTAGGTTAGCTGAACAACAAATGATAGAGAAAAAAGTGAGTGAAGTTGAAGATAGATTAATAGAAATTCCCAATCTGAAGAAAAAAAGAAAAAGAAAACTGGGTTTTAGAAAGTTGTGGGAACATAGCAAAAAGTCTAATACATGTGTAACCATAAACTCACAAAGAGAGGAAAGAGAGTCAACAGGGTAGAAAAAAAAATTTGAAGATATAATGGCTGAAAACTTGCCAAACTCGGTGAAAGACATAATTTACAGATTTAAGAACCTCAGCAAACCCCAAACAGCATACATACAAAGAAAACTACATCCAGACATTTGACAGTCAAATTAATGAAAAGCAAAGATAAGGAAAGGGTCTTTAAAGCATCCAGGGAAAAACGACACATTACATACAGGGGAACAACAATCAAAAAGACAGGTGATTTCTCATCAAGGACAATGAAGGTCACAAGACTGTGGAGCAACATCCTAAAAGTGCCAAAAGTGATAAAAAATACTACTAGGTTGGGCACAAAGACACTTCAAGAATGACAGACAACAAAGTAGACCAGTATTACAAGAAGTGACAAAGGCTGAAGGAAAATGTTAACTGGAGGGAAAATTCGGACCTTAAGAGAGGAATGAAGAATGTTAGAAATGGTAAATCTATGGGTAAAAATCACAGACCACTTTTTCCTCTTTAAAGTTTCTTTAAAATATATACAATGAATTAAAGCAAAAATTATAACACTGTCTTACTGACTTTATAATACATTGATGTTCTACATTCACAGGACAGCTATAACATAAGAGATACTGCTAGTTGAGGGGAGGTGGATAAATGGACCTTATATGGTTACAAGCTTTCTACATTTTACATTAAATGATATACACATTGTATGCGGGAAACGTATTTATATGTTTTACGTTGACTGGTAATAGAGCGCGCGATAAAAACTACCCGAAAACAATGTGTTAACTCCAAGTAGCCTATAAAAAGTATACGGTAAAGCAACCTCTAAAAAATAATAAAAACAGGTACAGCTAAAAGGCCAAAAGAGACAAGTAAATGAAATTCTAGAAAACACTCAAATACTCCAAAGGGGGCAGGAAAGGGTGAACAAGTATAAAACAAACAGGATTAAAAGCAAGCAAATAGCCCTAGCTGACTTGGCTCAGTGTTAGAGCATTGGCCTGTGGACTGAAGGGTCTCGGGTTTGATTCTGGTCAAGGACAAGCAAGTACCTTGGTTGCAGGCTCCATCCCCAGCCCCGGTAGGGGAGCATGCAGGAGGCAAACAATCGATGTGGGTCTCTCACACCGATGTCTCTCTCTCTCCCCCTTCCACTCTCTGAAAAAGCAATGGAAAAAATATCCTCAGATGAGGATTTAAAAAAAAAAAAGCAAGCAAATAATAAAATACTAGATTTAAATCCAACCATATTGATAATTACATTAAATGTTAAGGGACTAGACTAGACACTCTATTTAGAAGGCAGAGATTTCCGGACTGGATAGAAAAGCAAGCCCCAACTACATACTCAGCTCAAAAGACATCCTTCATATGTAAACACCAAATAGGTTGAAAGTAAATCAATTAAAAAACATATACGGTGTAAACAGTAAGCAAAAGGAGGATATAGTAGCTACTTCAAATGTGTGATAAAATAAGATTTCAAGATAAAGATATAACCTGAGGAAAATAAGAGACCCTTTATAATGATAAAAAGGTCACTGCATCAAACAATAGCCATACATGTATAGGCACCTCACAGAGCTTCATAATATATGAAGCAAAACCTGACTAAATTAAGGGGGATATAAACAATTCCACAATAATAGGAGATTTTAACACCCTACTCTTGGAAGAGCTAAAAAACAAACACAGTGAAGACATAGATGACCTGAATAATGCTATCAACCACTTTGACCTAACTGGCATTTATTGACCATGACACCCAATAGCTAAAGACATTCTTCCTAATCGTATGCAATATGTTCACCAACTCAGACCATAAAATGAGTCTCAGTAAATTTATAAGGATTGAAAACATACAAGTATGTTCTCTAATAACAACAGATATTAATTAGAAATCAATATTATAAGATACCTAAAGAAAAAAAAAAAGTAATGGGAAACAAAAAGTGCATTTTAAATAATCCATGGTTCAACAGAGAAATCACAAGGGAAACTAGAAAATATCTCAAACTGAATAACAATGAAGATACAACATATCAAAATGTGTGGAAAGCAGCGTTTAGAGGAAATGCATAGCTTTTAACACATTAGGAAAAAAAGGTCTAAATCAATGGCCTAAGGTTAGATCTTAAGATGTTAGAACAACAATGTACTAACCCAAAATAAGAGGAAGGAAATAATAAAGGGCAAAAATCAGTGAAACAGAAAACAAACAGAAGAGAAAATTAACAAAGCCAAAAGTTGGTCTGCAGAAAAGATAGCAAAATTGATAAAGAATAAGAGGATTGTCAAACCCAGAAAAAAGGGGATCCCGTGACAGGTCCTATAGACAGAAATGTTACAAATCAACCCCTGCCTTCAAGGAACTCTGGGTCTGGTGGTGCAGACTCATAGGTCCATGGAGTAGAGGAAAACCAGAGAATGTATAAGGTGGGGACAGAGATGCAGCCTAGAACACTAAGGGAGGTTATAAACCATCCTCACATAGTCGCAAAAATTCTCTATTCAATACAAAAAGTTGCTTTTGCTTTTGAAATCCTAGATGACACCAATTTAACCCAGTCTGTTGGGCCTAATGTTGTGCAAAATGCATGGTTTACTAGATGCCGAGGCAGGGGGTGGGGGTAATATTTGCCTCACACTAAGTGTGGCCAGGCTGTGGGTCGGGGCTTCCTCCTGCTGTGACCGGGACCCACTGAGGCAGACTGACTCCAATGTCGCTGTCAGTGCTGGGCACTAGGAAAACAGCAGGGGTGGTCATGTGGAGGCAAGGGTGGTGTGTGGAAGTCTGTGGTGCTTTGTTTTGTTTTGTCTTTGTTGGGAGACAGAACTGCAGTTGGGGCAGGGATAGGGCAGAGAACCCAGCAGATGGGCCTGAGCTGAAGGGGCACAGAAAAGGTCAGAGGAATGATAGCTGTTCATAGCTGCCTCCTTACTTGGGCTCCCCAGGGACCACTGGATGTGACACCCTGTTTCACAGGACAATCCTCGCAGGGACCTGCAGGTACAGCCACCCAGCCATCAGTAATGAGACCTGGCTGGTGACCTAGCTGCTAGAGAACCACACTGCCCACAATCGTCAGGCTTAGAGAGCATAGTTCAAATGATGGAGTCCTGACTCAAACCATAGGGGAAGATAAGAACAGGCTTCCTTCACACAGGCACAATGCACACACAGGTAGCACCTCCGCCTTCCCACATCACTCACCTTTGAAGGTAAGGACGGGTTTTTCGTGAATGGGTCTGAGGTAAACGGGTCATTCTTTGTCTGTTTCTTAAAGAAGTCATCAGGGGCAGAGCCACGGAATGGGTCACTTTCTTTGAAAGGATCTCCTCCAAATGGATCTAGAAAGTGTTTTGGAAAGTGAGGAAAAGACTGAACCATGAATAAACAACATTATGCTTAGAACACATAACTGACTGATGCCATTTAGGTAAAGTTCTAGGAAAGGTAAAAACCACAGTGAGGGAGAGCAGGTCAGCAGTTGCTAGAGACCTGGGGAGTTGGAAATGGGAGGCACAAGGGAACCTTTCAGGATGATGGGAATGTTCATTATCCCACAGGACTGTACTCATTTGTCAAAACTCTTCTCGCCCTGGCCAGTGTGGCTCAGTTGGTTGGAGCATCATCCTAAACACCAAAAAGTGGCAGTTCAATTCCCAGTCAGGGCATATACCCAGGGTGCAGGAGGCAACCAATGGATGTTTCTCCCCCCAACTTCCTCTCTCTAAATATCAATTAAAAAAACCAAACTCATGCCCTGGCCGGTTTGGCTCAGTGGTCAGAGCACTGGCCTGCAGACTGAAGGGTCCCAGGTTCGATTCTGGCCAAGGGGACATACACTGGTTGTAGGCTCAATACCCAGCCCTGGTCAGGCAACCAATCAACGTGTCTCTCTCACATTGATGTCCCCCCCACCTCTGTTCCCCTTCCACTCTCTCTTGAAAAGCAATGGAAAAAAATATCCTCTGGTGAGGATTTAAAAAAAAAACACAAAAAAACAAACTCATCTCATTATATAATTAAAATTGGTAAATTTCGTCGTGTGTAAATTATACCACTCAATAAAACCAATTTTAAAAATAACAAAAATAAACAATGTGGACAAATTCATAGAAACAGAGAAGCAGATTAGTGGTTGTCAGGGCCTGGGGAAGAGCAAATGGAGAGGTGACTGCTAATGAGAATGGAGTCTCCTTTTGGTGTGACGGGAATTTTCTGAAACTAGATAGAGGTAGTAGTGGCAGAACATTGGCAGTGTACTAAATGCTAGTGACTTGTTCACTTTAAAATTGTTAATTATGTGTTATGTGAATTTTACATCACTAAAAAAATTAATAAAGAAAAAACATAAATAGGCAAAGTGATCCTAACACCACAACCACAGTGTGTTCACTCCCCTCAAATGTGGGGTGCGGGCATGGTGACTGGAGAAGGGGGAAGCCACCATCACCAGGAGGGAACAAGACACTAGGCTTTTGTGCAATGCAGGTGACTGACCTTCCCCATGTACATGCTGCCACTCTTGGAATGTATAGATGGAAGTCCTGCCATGTGCGCGTACTACACAGGACCCCATGAAGCTGCCATAGGTGACACAAACAGGTACAAATGACTAAGTTGTTGTATGCAACAACCGCCTAGCTACCAAGAGCTCCGTTTCTAGTTCTGTTGGGAGACTGGCAACAAGGGCACCAGACTGTGAAAGGGAAGGACAATGTCACTGCCACTTTCCTTCAGAAATAAACTTCCCTGCTGCCATGTGGTGGGGGACCTGGTGGAGACTGGAAGGTGTTTTACACTGCCCTCAAATTGCACTAGGAACGGGGCTATTCTGAGGATGAGTCCATGAAACCTGTCTTAACAAAGGCTTTTACCTGTGGAAGCTGTCTGCTGTTCTGCAAAGGGGTCATTCTGGAACGGGTCACCTAGATTAGAGGAGAGAGAAATGTTTAGCTTTACAGTAGAAATGACCCTGGCATATCAAAGTGGGAGAGCAGGGAAGGCCACTGGCTGAGGCAGTTTTTTATGGCTAAGACATTTAAGATGAAATGAAAGGTATTTTGGCTGCTCAACATGAGCCAGAGTCAGAGAAAACATACAAGCCAGGACTCACTCTTCTCTTCCTACACCATGTGCCACTCCAATCTCACATCTCCCCCTCATATCCCTCAGCTATAAGAACAGGGGACCCAGGACTGTCCATTCTCAATCACGTGGCCTGCCCTGGAGCCATGATGAGCTGCCTGGTTCCTAAGCCCCAGGGACCTAAGGGGCTTCACTCCAAATCTGCAACTTTAAAGGCTCCAGTTACCATTCCCTGCCTTGGCATTTTTCTCAGAAATGTATAGATAGCCTTCCTGGAAATACTGTTTTGCTCTGAAAAAGACGGAGAAACTTAGGAAATCTTGTTTCTAGAAATTCTTAGTTATTTTTGACTTGCCTGGCTCTAGGTAAACCCACCAGTTAAGACCTCAGACTTATGTGGGGATCTGTCATTCACTAGGTAGTTTCATAATCATTACTGTATCTGATTATCTTACTAATCCTTCGAGTGGACGAAAAAATGTGCCACCCTACTGGTGGATGGAAACTGAAGTGCGAAGAGTCTAAGATCTGAGCAAGCCATGGGCTCGTGCCACCACACCACACCCCAAGGCCTCAGCTCTTCAGTTAACTGGGTGAAGTGAAAACCCAAAAGGGCCATGAGGTTCAGAGAATTCCTTTCTTCCTGCACTTCAGAGGGTAGTATCTCCCAACTACTCTAGGTCACTGAACAACCCTAAATGGCACAAACTAAACAGTCTTTCAGTGAGAGAGTGGGAGCCAGTGAAATACCTTTGAAGGGATCAGCTCCTTTAAACGGGTCAGATTTGAAGGGATCTTCTGCCTGGAAAGGATCCGGATGTAATTCCTGGGCATTGTTGCTAAATAACAAGGCTTTATTTTTGAAAGGATCATCCTAAAATTTGTGAAGAGACAGGACAGGGATTTTATTATTTCAGATTTAAAGCAAAGTACAGAATTCTATACCTAACTCATAATTTTTAAGTGCTATGACCCTAAAGAGAAGAATTTATTTTTAATCACTGAAGATGGACCTTAGTTAATAATATTGTGTCAACAGTGATTCATTAGTTGTGACAAATGTGCCATATAAGATGTTAATAATAGGGGAAGTGGGTGTGGGGTATATGGAAACTCTCTGTACCACCTTGGCAATTACTCTGTAAGTCTAACACTCTACTAAAATAAGTTTATTTAAAAATCAGAGTGGAAGCAACCCAAGCATCCACTGATGGATGAATAAACAAAATGTGGTATATACATGCAATGGAGTATTATTCAGCTTCAAAAAGGAAAGAAATTCTGACACATGCTACAACATGAATGAACCTTGAGCATATTGTGTTGAGTTAAATATGTCAGTCAAAAAAGGACATATATTACATGATTCCACTTATATAAGGTCCCTATAGTAGTCAGATTCATGGAGACAGAAAGTAGAATGGTGGGTGCCAAGGGCTGGAGGAGGGGGAGTGGGGAGTGAGTGTTTAATGGGGACAGAGTTTCAGTTTGGGAAGATGAAAAAGTTCTAGAGATGGATGGTAGTGATGGCTACACTTAATGACACTGAACTGCACACTTAAAAATGGTTAAGATGGTAAATTTTGTTATGTGTATTTTACCACAATCAGAATTTTTTTTAAAAATCATTGAGACAGAAAAAAAATCACATTTTTTGAAATCTCAAAAATTAAATATAAAAAGCCACCCAACTGCAGCACGGGACTCTTCAAAGGTGTGACCTCCCTCAGTCATCTTTATCTCAGAGAGTGTGTGGGCATTTAAAAACATGCTGTTTCCACACCAAGAAACATATATGCTGGCTATTTACATCCTGGGAGGAAGTGAGTACTTATGCAGTTAGAACTACTAGAGCATACACACTACTTTGCATTTTTTTTTAAAGTGCTTATTTCTAGAAACAAACAAGCATATTTAAATCAGAAGAAAGATTTGCTTTTGAAGAGTACATTTTTATAGTGGAAATAGCTGGGGGGGGGTGCAGTATACATAGGAACAATGCATTTGGTTTAAAAACACTGAATGTGTTTTGGTTAATAAAGACACATCCTCAGTGAAAACATGAAAGTTTCACTGTGATATTAAAAAGCACACGGTCCTCCCTGTCTCTGGCGAATGTGCTGCCATCTATGGGGCTAGCACATGAATCCATTATTCCAACCGACCAAAACCAAATGAAAGAGCTAGAGCTTCAATCAAAATACAAACAGTGGTTACAGGGAAATGACATCAAAAGTGCCAAAGGAAGATTCCTGACAAGGCTTCCTACCACATGAGCCGGTCCACCTCAGGGGGCCAAACGGGTCTTAAAGGCACTGGGCTAACAGGAGCCATAGGCTTTGGAAAAACGAACCAATAACCCTGGCCTCTAATGAATATGAAGCAATTTTTCTTACCTGGGAAAGATTATCTGGAGCCTCCAGCCAGGGTGGGGAAACCTTCCCAAGGTGGGGAAACCACAGCAGGGTCTTAGGCAAGTAAGTACAGAGGTCTGCAAACACCACGTCTCAAGGCAGAGCGCGGTTCTGTAAGGACATTGTGGTGCTAATGACTGCAAGATGGGTATCCAAGGAGCACCTAATGGGGCTCTCAGATACAGAAAATAGGATGGAGTCCTAATCTAAGGAAACCAGGAGGCCAGGGGGGAAATAAGCTTCTAGAACTGTACCATGGGGCAAGATACCTGCTCTAGAAGGATCAAGAGGGCTGACAACATGGACGAAGCAGGGAGTTAAGAATGACAGCCTGGCCTCAGAATAGAAGTTTCTTTCATTTTTAATCGGCACCCATTTACAAGTTGGCTGGACGTCTTTGTTTTGGTTTGCTTTATTTTTTTTTGGTTTTTTGTGTTTTTTTTTGGTTTGCTTTTTAAAAATGTTTTCCATCATCACTTGGAAGACCGCCAAATATCAGTGGACAATGGCAAAGAAAAGAATGATTCTGGGGGCTCCAGCCGTGAGCACCCTGAACTGAAAGTAAGGTCTGCACTCTCTCTCAGGGGCAATTATTTCCCTGAGGCAGCCATTGCGCCCTCCCCTTCAAAGGAGAAGCCTCAGAAGACCCTGGCAGGATTCATGTGGTTAGGGTAACCACTGGGGGTTTGGATTCCATTTCACAGATTCAGAGCAAAAAACTAGATTTCCCCTGGTACAGAGACGCCATAACCTCCCCCATCCACGAGAACTGAGCCATCTGCCAACTTGGAAGATGCGAGTGAAGCAGACCAGCATGGGGTGAGTGATACGCGTCCCTTGGCAGAGGTAAAATACCTTCAAACAATAAGTTCAGTGACCAGTCTCAAGTTTTGTACTCCATAGAAAATAGAAATGACAACTGTGAAAGGGCATCAAAGGGGTTTCTATGACATTCCTTTCCTTTAGATGGGGTTGGGCAGGGGGTTGCTAGTGAACCAGCTCTCTGAAAAAGAGTCCTGATGGGGAGCTTCTGCCAATTCCTGTGGCCGATTTCAAGTTATTAAAAGTTGAACAACCAGCTTACAAAATCCCTATTTAATAATCAGCTCTGGAGTGTCGATAACGCTGGCGCCCATGTGTCACTGGGGCTAGAGGTGACAGACAACCCAGTCTTTAAGGATGAGTTCTCCGCAAGGCTTAAGTCCAGGATGACTTATAACCTACTCTACTAGACACGTTGGTTGGGTATTGACATCAAGGGCAAGAGGTCAGTATATTCATCATCTGATTAGAGAGAAGACATGATTATGGATTTAAGAATCCTGTGTCTCTTGGACAAAGTAACACAGTATGAGCTTAAAACTAAACTTAGTAATTTTAGTAGAAGTGCCGAGGCTTAGAAAGTTCTAGATGCAGCTCTATAGTTACACTAACCTTGGGACTAAACCGCTCACTTTCACCCCCCTTGAAGAGAACTAAGAGTTCTCTCCTTTGGAGCAGTCTTGAAATGTATGGGAGTAAATAAAAAGCCCTCTTCAAAGTGTTTACGAAGAAATGGAAACAAACCCAAAAAATGCTTTAAAAACTGTATTTATACAAGATAAATAGTTTTTCTTTCAGACACCAGTTGCAAGTTTCTATGTAACATATCTGACGTCAACATTCCAGGATGAATTGACTACCATGTAAACGCTGCTCCGCTTAGGAAAACAAAAATAAAGAAAGGTAAAAACATCTGTGGGGGTGGGGGTGGGGGTGGGGGGAGAAATCACTGGCCGCTTGCAAACTGCCACTTCACTGCCAACTTTATCCAAGGAAACCAATTTTATCAAAACCTGCCAAAAAGTTTAAGAGCAAGGTTGTTCCCTGAACTAGGACAGAACCAGAGAAGCTGAAAGCCATGCGAGGGGACCAGTGACAGGGGTGGGGGAAGTAAGAGCAGGGCTGTGAAGCTGAAATGCACACAGACGGAGCCAAACACCAGGCAGGAACTTCTGCCCCACGCAGTTCATGAAGAACAGATGTTCACTGACTACATTCAAGCTGACGATGGGCCCAAGAGTGGAGAAGGAACTGTCACCCATTTACAATTCCACAAGAATGAGGAATCTGAATGGCTGAGGGGAGCAGTGATGGCCAGAGATAAGAGACAGATGAGAACACCACCAGCATATTCTAAGCAGCGTGGGGAAGAAGGCTCAGCTTCCTCATAAATTCTTGGGACTGAGTACTTGGCTACTGAGAAAAGAAACATGTCAAGGAATGAACATAAAGAACCAAGTCTTGAGAGAGAGAAAGGCTGTACTATTACGAGGAGGAAAGGAATCCAGGAAGCAAACAGGGCCTGGAGCAGAAAGAGGGCTTGGAGGGGGAGCCCTGGAAGAGAGATGCAGTGCAGGGTGAGCTGCTAAAGGCTTTGGGAGCAAAGCACACAAAAATCCATCAAGACCAACCACGTCCCACTGGCGCCCTCAAGAGCACAGAGACACTCTCCTTAGCCAGACTAAATTGGAAACAACACACACCAGGGCTAAAGGCTACAAAAGTAGACTGGTGGGAACAGGGAGACGTGACAATCTGCAGAAAAAGTAACACCTCCTGGATGCCAGCAGCCTGAGAGCCCACAGCAACCTAAGAGGTCGATGGCCCCTCAGGCCTTGATCAGGGTGCCCAGGGTCATGAGGTTTGGACTCAAGAGCCGAGATTTCAAACGTAACCAAAATTTCAGAACAGAGGCCAATTCATAGGTGAGACAGAATGTCCCAGGAGGGCTATTTTCTTGATCTTTATCAATACATTTGATTTTCAAGGTACTCCTTGTGGAAACAGACAAACACATTCCCTTAGCCCCTCCATTAGTAGGATGTGGGTTTCACAACTTGGAAGACTGATCCAAGTTTGGCTAAGTTTGGGAAGCCTTCTGTATTTGGGTGGTTGGCCCATGGAGATGGAAGTCTTTAAAAAAGTGGTTTTACAAAGGAGTCAGGCCTATCCAGGCTTTGTCCCGTACAGAGCATGGCCACATACACCAGGCTGCAGGGCTGGTGGGGACTCTCAAAGCAGCCGTGAAAATGAGAAACACCCTGCACTTGGATAGAACAAAGCTGGCAAGTGCCGAACTGAGTAGGAGGGGCATTCTCGGATCCCAATGTGGGACCTAGTCCCAGGACTAGAATACATTTATTCGACCTTTACCATGGTTCCAAAACCGCCCCTCTCTGTGAGGGAGACACCCTCACTCAGGTCAGCTAAGTTGGTCAGGCTGGCGCCGTGGGCCCCATCAAGCGCTTCGTCGTACTGCTCCAGGCTCCTGTGGGCTTCCTGCTGGCTTTCGTGCAGCTGGGCAAGTTTGCTTCTTGCCTGCACAACAAAGACATTGCTTGCATAAAGTGGGGTTTAGCAAAAGTCTCAAGCAAGACATGTTCTTCTCCTACCATATAACCCCGAGCAATTTACATGGGTAACTAAATTACCCATCTAAGGAGTAGGCGACCCCTGTCACCATGTTTACAAGAAGTGAGACTCCTCATAAACCAAAACAAGGCCCTTCTCATGGCCCCAGGAAACCTCTTTGTATCCCCAGCCCCTGAGAGAGGCATGAGTTCAAAGAAACATTTTTCGATTCTGAACAAACTGAAATTAGACAAAACCCAGATTCACAATCTGTTCAAAGTGACATTAGACAGTGATTCTCTCTTATGGGGTTTTTATTATCCACTTGATCCTCCTTGTCCTTGAGAAGGCATGTGAGGGCCAGGAAAGGAAGACAATCTATGAGGTCAGACAGACCCAGGCATGTACTTTAAATGTCTCATACACACAGCGTGACCTCAGGCTGGTGACCTAACCTCTCTGTTTCTTCTCCAAAGTGGACCATTGGAAATCAAAAGTAAAACAAGAGTCTGGCAGGGTGGGCATTAATAAGCAGCAGTTATTGTTATCATCATTATTAATAACCTACACTTATACTTGACTCCTATATAGTTTTTACAAATTCTAAAAAGATTTAATATAATCCTACAGATGTTGACAACAAAGCACAATTTGGGTATTAAATCCCCCCCAGTACATGTTTGTGATCAAGTTTTGTCTGTAAACTGGCAAAGAGAACAAAGAGCTCTTTTTAGTTAAGAAAAGAAACAAAAATAGCCATTTCGATGTTGCTGAGGGCACACGTCAACCCCATTCTTTGGGTGGGACACCCAAGGACCAGCAGGGAGTCCTATGGCTGTCACATATAGCGGGGCAGGAAGAGAGCTCTCCTTCTGCTGGTAAGCAACGCTGTAGGACATATGGCCTTTGCACTGGGGCAGGATGGGGAGGGGCTGCCCAGACAGCTTGAAGAACTGGAGGAGGGCCCTGAATTCGACAATGCTCACTACAGGGTGCAGCCACCTCGATGCAATAGTCTTCTAATAGTCTTCAGGGACAGAGAGGCGCTGGGACATGTCTCTGACTCTGACACTCTTGCTTGTGCGAGGACTAGGCTGGCAAGATCATTTCCTAAACCCAAGGCTCTCTCCCAGTAAGCCATTAATTTAATGCCCTTCATTCTGCCCCTGCCCACTCCCTGCAAATGAGGTGTGCTCACGCAGGGAAGGGGAAAGACAGCGAGGCTAAAGTCAACATGATACTGGAACACACACTGGGGGTTCTCAGCACTTAACCTCCAGACCAGTAGGACGCAAGTGAGGTGAGTGAAAGCAAAGGGAATAAGAGGCCTCAGGGTAGACACTTGGCCCCGCCCAGTCAAACATCAACATGAGAGCTCACGGCAGCTGCTCTGCTTGGCAGAAGACCCCAGGCCATAGCAGGCCTTGGCAGGGCCTGTTCCCAAGGAGATACCTGGTTGATTTCATCTTGAGTGGACTTCAGGGACTTGATGATGGTTTCCAGTTGAACCTTTCCAGCCTGAATGCTCTGCTCCAGCTGGGTCTCTTCCTGCTGCAGCCGGTTCAGTTCCGATTTGGCCCGGTTCAGGTCATCCTCCTGGGACTTCAGGTCAGATTCCTGTGACTGGATCTGGGTCTTCAATGAGGAAATCTGAAACAAGATGAAATATGGCTCCAAGGGAGAATTCTTAGTTCACGGTCCTGGAACAAGCTAACACAGGGAGGCTGGACACCTGACTTCCTCACACGTCCTACTCTAGGCCCAAAATAAAGAAACAAGGCAAACATGCTCACCCCATGTGACTGACAGAAAGTCCCTTTGGGATAAAGAGGAACTCAAGCTCAAGCTGGAACAAGCATAGGCAATCTGTCCCTAGGGGCCAAACATCCCTGTAGAGGCCTGAGGGTTTTAAAATCTGCTGAGGCTACGGCCTTCCTGGTTTGTAATAAGCAGTGAAGACAGCAGAGGAAGGAGAGAGCTGTGCTGCACACTCATGCTGTTGGGCATGGGACAGGGTGTGTTGTCTCCATACACAGGTTCATGGGGATCGAAGCTGTTCACACCTATAACTTGGCAGGTGATACTGAGGTCAAGCCTCAAATGGGTGAACACTTTTCCAAATGATATGCCCAACTATTCTATTAAAACAGCAGGATTCTTCACATTGTCTTTCAAGGTCATCGTGAGCTCAGAGAAGCCCTCAGGAAGCTCCCTCCCCATCCTGGGCATGGGTGGGACTCACCATCTGAGTCTCGTCCTGGCACTTCTGCCTAACATCACTCAGCATGTCTCGGAGCTTGGCCTTCTGCTGGTCCATTTCATCCAGGCGGTCCTGGGCATCCTGTTTCTGAGCTTCCAGCTCTTGTAAACTGCTTGTTTCCCGGTCTAAGTCATTCTGTAATTCCTAGGGAAGGATTGTTTGAATTTACTTGAGACTTGCTGATATAAGTGGGCCATGCTGATATAATAGGACACAGCCTGGGGGGGGAGGCCCCTGGATATGTGCTTGGGTGGCACCCTGCATGCACACACCCACTGTGAATGAGTGCATCTTGGCTGGGTGACCTGGCTCAATCTCTCCTTAAGTCCCTCAGCAAATATTTACTGATGGCCTAAGAGAGGCCAGGGCCAGGAGAGAGGCTGGTCTCTGGCAAGAAGAGCTCTCCAGTGACCTGTGGCTGGGGGTGGGCAGATGAAGGGTGTCACCTGAGCACAAATGAACTGGGGATGAAAGGCACAAAGAGACAGCATGGGTGCTGTCAGAGTCACGGGGGGCAGGGGAACCAGACTGATGCTACATGGGTGGAAAAGCCCCAGTGGAAGCACCACTTAGGACGGACCCGAAGAACAAGCAGATGGCAGCAGGAAAAAGAGGCAGGAATGTGACTGTTATCTCAGACGTGCCCCGTGTTCACCACTCTCAAGTTAATTCAAAGATCCACCAGGCCTCTCTGGGACCACAGGGAACCACAGGGGGCTACAAGGGGGGCGGGGGTGTCCATTCCAGCTGGAGCAAAGGGAAGCAGGATGAGGGCGGCAGAGGCTGCACTCGCTTCTGCAGTGGGAAGCCCCTGCAAGTCGTTCAAGTGTGGGAGTGGGACCTGCTGATTCTCTATTACTAAAGTCTCTCCAAGTCAGCCATATCTACAGAGATGGCCAGTGTAGGAATCCTTGGCCCTGAAACTACACTCCTAGGAAAAGCATCCTAGAGGTATATGGAGCATGTGAAAACATAAACATCTGTAACAGCAAAATCATCAACAATGCTAACTCAACCAGGAAGGACTGGCTGATAACTTACAGTAGAGATCACTCGAGGGACCAGGGACGCTGCACCTCAAGTTCCAAGTTACAATGTGAAATGAACAAGGTGTGCGACAAAGCACATGTATGTTGCACCCTGGCATTCATGCAAACAGGAAGGAGAGAATATGCATAGATGTCTCTGCTTAAACATGCACAAGGGAAGGCCTTCTGGGAGCAAATCCACTGTGCCTCTTGGGGCCAAAGGGAGGACAGAAGGCTTCTCACCTTTGATTTTCAACCAGACAAATGTCTTATGGAATGTCTTATCTATCTGAAATAGGATGGCCTGAGGAGCCAACAGAGGGAACCAGGATGGTGGGCAGAGAGTTCAGGCTGGGCCCAGGGAGAGGTAACGGTGGCCTAGGCAAGGTGGTAGCTGTGGAATCAAGGGAAGGGGTGAATCTGAGGGTCCTTGAGGGGTAAGGAAGGACAGGTGGTAAGGCCAATCCCCAAGGCAGGCCAGAGCTGTGGGTGGCTGGTGCCTTTTCAGGACAAAATCTGAAGAAGGTGGAGGGTCTCCCTCTCCTTGCTTTGAGGACAGCAACATCATAGCTCTCTCTTCTTTCAACAGGAAAAATGCATCTCTGAGTTATTTTGGGGAGCTGGGTTCTCTGCTCCCAGTCTCCCTGCTCCTGACCTTTAATTCAAAGAGCACATCTCAAGTCTGACAAATTTTGGAGGTAACACAGAATGTCTGAAAGGGGGTTGGTGGTAGAGTCCAGGGTGTGGGTTTACCACATCTGAGGAAGGACAGGTGATGGGGGAGGGGTGGATGAAGTGTGGCAACCTGGGACAGCAGGTGGCCAATAGCCTGGGCCTGTCAAGGAGTCTGCGCCTCTGTAATGCATAAGGAGCCATTGAAGAGCACCGCAGGGACGAAAATCCACCAGCTCCAGTTTAGGAAGGGCACTGGGTCAAAGTAGGGGAGGTCTCTGAGCAAACAAGAGACAAAAATAACCCAGACAACCCACAGACTCAATGCAATCCCTGCCAGAACCCCAGCCAGTTTCTGTGTAGAAACTGCAAGCAGATTCCAAAATTCATAAGGAAATTCAAAGGATCCAGACTAACCATCACAATCTTGAAAAAGAAGAACAAAGTTGACAGACTCATACTTTTCTAGTTCAAAACTTACCACAAAGCTACAGTCATCAAGACAGTGTGATACTGACATAAGGAGTGATATATAGATCAATGGGATAGAACTGAGAGTCCAGAAATAAACTCACATATCTATGGCTAATTGAATTTCTGACAAGAGTGCCAAAACCATTCAGTGGGGGAAAGAATAGTTTCTTCAACTACGGGTGCTGGGACAACTGAATCTCCACATACAAAAGAGTGAAGCTGGACCCTTACCTCATAGCATATATAAAAATTAACTCAAAATAAACCAAATACCTAAATCTAAGAGCTAAAATTATAAAATTCTTAGAAGAAAACATGGCCTAAATCTTAGTAACCTTGGGCTTGGCAGTGGGTTCTTAGATATAACACCAAAAGCAGGAGGGGAAAAAGAAAGGAATCAATAAAGTGGGCTTCACCAAAATTTAAAACTTTTGCGCTTCAAAGGACACCATCAAGAAAGTGAAAATACAACCCACAGATAGAAAATAATATTTGCAAATCATGTATCTGATAAAAGACATATTTCAAAAACAAAGAACTCTTACAGCTTAGTAATAAAAAGACAAATACCCAGTTAAAAAATGGGCAAAGATCTGAACTGAATTTTCTTGAAAGAAGATATACAATGGCAAATAAGCACATGAAAAGATGCTTAACGTCGTTGGGGAAAGTATTCAGAGCAATGAGGTACCACTCCACGCCCAAAAGAAAGGCTACTATAAAAAATGGGAAATAATAAGTGTTGGCGAGGATGCAGAGAAACTGGAACTCGTATACATTACTGGTGGTTATGTAAAATGATACATCCACTTTGGAAAACAGTCTGGAGGTCCTTCAAAACATTAATAAAAGAGTTATCACGTGACCTAGTAATTTCACTCTTGGGTATACACCCAAGAGAAGTGAAATCATAAATCCACACAAAAACTTGCAAATCGATGCTCATAGCAGCACTATTCACAATAGCCAAAAAGTGGAAAAACCCAAATATCCACCAACTGATGAATGAATGAATGAAATGTGGTCCAGCCACACAACAGAATATTACTCAGTCAAAAATAAATGAAGCACTAACACACAGTACAACATGAATGAATCTTGAAAACATCATACTGAGCAAAAGAGGCCAGGCCCTGGCTGGTGTTGCTCAGTGGTTAGAGCGTCTGCCTGCACACCAAAGGGTCACAGGTTTGATTCCCGGTCAAGGGCATGTACATGGGTTCCAGGTTCGATTCCCAGTCCTGGTTGGATGGTATTGCGTGCAGTAGGCAACCAACTGATGTGTCTCTCTCACATCGATGTTTCCCTCTCTCCCCTCTTCCCTCCCTCTCTTCCACCCTCTCTAAAAAAAAATATCTTCAGGTGAGGATTAACAACAACAAAAAAGGCCAGACATAAAAGGCCACACAATGTATGATCCCATTTATATAAAATGTCGAGAACAGGCAAATTCGGAGAGACAGAAAGCAGATCAGTGGTTCTCATGGGCTGGGTGAGGGGGAGTGGGAAGTGACTGCTAATGGAAACAAAGTTTCTTTTTCTTTTTAGTGTTGAAAATGTTCTATAATTGATTGTGGTGATGGTTGTATAACTGTGTGCATACACTAACAATCACTGAATTATACATTTTAAATGGGTAATTATATGATATGTGAATTATCTCTCAGTAAAGCTGTTGTTACAAAAACAAAACGAAAAGACACTGAAGGCCATCACCAGTACGGTATTAGGCAGCGGAGGAGAGAGAGACGGGAGATGCCCAGGGCAGAACTGGGGAGAGGGGTGATGTGAACAGGACTGTGGGGGTTGAGGCTAAGCTGCTGCTGCTTAAAACCAAACCTAAACTGACCTGAGTGGAACAATGGGCTCCCACTCCACACTTGGCTCTGACCCACAGCTGTGCCAGCAGGTGTGGCACATGATCTCTTGGTCTGACCTTTTTGGGAAAAGGCAGCAGGAGCCAAAGGCAAATCTGTTTTCCTTTGGACATTAAGAAAAATATGTTGTGCCCGGCCAGGGGTGGCTCAGCGGTTGCGTAGCAACCTAGGATCCAAGGTGATCAGGGTTCGATTCCTGGTCAGGGCACATGCCCAGGGTTGCAGGCTCAATCCCCAGTCGGGGGCGTGCAGGAGGCAGCCGATCAATGACTCCGTCATCATTGATGTTTCTATCTCTCTCTCTCTCCCTCTCCTTTCCTCTCTCTGAAATCAATAAAGATATATTAAAAAAAAAAAGTTCTGTCCCTGACCAAGGAGCTGCCATCAAACACTACAGTAGAGCCCCATTCTAGCCAGCTTACAAATGACGTCCTAAAGAATAGGGGCTAGCCTAGCTAGGATTAGGCTTCCTCCCAGCTGTTGGGGTCTATCGAAGGGCACATGAACCCCAGTGTCGAAGAGATGGCAGAGGTACAGTCCATCAGTCAGGACTCTGGGTGGTTTTACCATGCCTACCACAGACCAGAGGGGATAGTACCTCCAGACTTCAGATCAAGTCTCTGCAAAGACCCAAATGCTTTCTCAGAATCACCTGGGAGCAGGTGCCAGAGACCCAGTGACTGATTTCCTTGGTAGTTACAACACTCCGATCCTCAGTGATCAGAATGCAAACTACAACTGGCTTGGGCAACATGGTAAAAAGGAGAACCACTCAGGCATCTATGTGGCTGGGCTGGGCTGACACATGAGGGAAGGAGAGGCCAGCTCTGCCACACCAAGAAACGAAAGGATAGAAGGTGAAGCAATGTGCATGACGGGGGTGCTCTGTGTCTGAGGGGTCAGTTTGAGAATATGGGTGAAAATCAGAAGACGTGGTGAGAATGATTGGATGAAGGTACAAACATGCAGAAAATTAGTCACTTCACCTGTGAGGTGCTCTTATAAAAGCACTGAACATCAGAGGCAGGCCAGTCCCCGCCTTCTGATACAAAACATTCCAGGAGACCATCTAAAGCTCAATTCTCTCTGCCAATGTGCAGAGTGAGAAACTAGCGAAGATGGGTCTGGACACAGTACAGTGTGAACCAATGAGAATCCTGAAGCTGGGTGGGCACACCCACCTCACTCTGTCTGAAGACTGAAGCAATGACAGAGGTCATTTTTCACAGGGCCAATGGGCAGGCAGGCATCAAGTGCCATCTTCCCCATGTCTCATAAAGTCCCCCAATCCCTTGCGGGAAAATGCAGGGAATAGGTAGGAGGATTGCTGAGCACCCCGTGAGCCTGACTCGGCTTCCCCTAGCCCAGTTCGGATCCCAGCCCCAGGAGGTGGCCCAGAACAAACCAGCCACTCATATAGCACACACTGGGACTAGATGCTGCTCTCAGCTCTATGTAGAGCAGCCCATGCACTGATCCTCACTGCCACCCCAGCTAGAGATGAAGGCTGGGAAGCTAAGCCACCCATCCATGGTCACCCAGGTGGGATGTGGTGGGCTGGCGTCCTGACACTCAACTGTGTTCCTCTTTCTGCCAGCTCTGAGTTCAGAGCACTCAAGGTCCCCTAAGCAAAGCCAGTCCCAGCTCAGTGTCATTCTCAGGGCCCCATGGCCAACTCAAGTCCTCTCCAAGTGGCAGTGTCTTCTTTATCCATTCACACCTGGGACACTGCAGGAACTTATGTCTCTTCAAGGGTATAGCTCCTAGGTACTGACCGTTTTGCTCTTGGTGCAACCTCCCCTCTACTCATTGAATAGCTGGGTTGGCCAGCTATAAGTGAGTGCTAAGCACATGCCAGACGCCATGCTCCAGCCCAGGAAAGCAGAACACTCATTACCAATGTCACGCAAGGCCCAGAGATGTTAAGTAACTTGCCCCAAATCACACAGCTACTAAGGAGAGCTGAGTTTGAGCCCAGGCAGTTAGACAACCTCAGTCTCTGCCATTGCCATCACCACCACCCATTAGGAAACACTCCAAGCAGGAATGTCCTGAGAATAGGTTAGAGGCCATTGTCTGAACCTCACAAACTCAGGCTGAGTGAAAGAAGTCAGACACAAAAGGCCACATGTTGTATGATCCCATTTATATGAAATGTCCAGAATAGACAAACTCATAGAGACAAAAAGGAGATTAGTGCTTTGGCTGGGGGGTGGGGTGATGGGGAGTGACTACTAATGGTTATGAAGTAACTTTTTGGGGTGATGAAAATGTTCTAGGATTAGAGATGATGGTTAGGCAACATAATATGCTAAAAAACACTGAATTGTACACTCCAAAATAGTGAATTTTACATTACGTGAATTATATATCTCAATAAATTTTTTAAAAGCCCATCTATGATTATAGAGAACTTAAGAAAATTCACTTGAAAGCCCCCACGGAGCTCCAGTTTCCAGTAAATGCAGGGCCACTTTTCCCTTGCCCCCACCCTGCCACCACTGATGGAAACTCCCTGCGCTGCATCTGACACAGAAGGAGCACCGTGCTTACCTGCACCTCGTTCGTTTTCTGTCTGATGGCCTCTTCCTTTTCTCTAATGTCTTGTTCCAGTGAATATTTCTCCCTGAGCGTTTAAAGATATTTCATGAAAGCACAGAGTGAATAAGTTAACCGTCACCGCAGTGCAGACTCTCCACCTGACTCCTCAAGACCCATTTATATCCATCCCTATGGAAACTGACCCCTCTTAGTGGGGGTGGAAGTCTAGGAACAACCCCAGGGACCATTTGTCCTAGGTGATCCCCTCTCCTGAAAGCATGGGTAAAAGCATGAGGCATCACTCCCACTGTGGACAGAAAAACCCTTTAAAGCAAAGGATTTTCAAAGAAAGAGTCAGAGTGATGCCCCTGGTAAAGACTGATGTTTCAGGAGGGAAGGAGCAGGACAAGGGAGCCCCCCTGACCTCGGCCCTATGAGACCCTGATCAGGGAGCCCAGTCAAGCCCTATGGGAGTTCTGGTCTACAGAGCTGTGCACTAATGTGGGATATTTTAAGCTGTTACATTTGTGGCAATCAGTTATGCAACAAGAAAAAAGTAATCTTCTCCAAATCCTATATTCACTCGCTCACTGATTAGTGAGCGTCTACCCTTGGAAGTACCGAGTACTGAGGACCTGGTGACATACCACAAGAAGCTCCTACCCTCATAGAGCTCACATCCAGTGGGGAAGAAAGGTGCCAAATCAATGCACAAATAAATACAACCTAAGGCGTACAAAGGAAATCCAACAGGATAAGGAAAGGGCTCTCCAGGGAGGTGGCCTGTGAATGGGAGACATGGTGGAAGAACGTTCTGGACAACATGAATGGGAAGGCAAAGCTTGGTTGGGGAAACCATGGGAAGAAGTTTGAAGATGCAAGTGGGGTGTGGGGGTCCAGACGGCTGGCAGCAAAAAGTGGTAGTGAGGTTCTTGGGTCCCTGGGGCTGCTCCCAGCTAACCCCTCGCAGGAGGCTATGGTTGGCCACTATGCACACCAGGTGTTCAATGGGGCCCTGCCTGTCTCCTCAACTGCACACAGCTCCTCTCCCCCCCCCAGTGGCAAAAACCAGCCTCACTGTACTCATTGTGAACTGAACGTTTGTGCCTGCCCCCCAAATTCATATGCTGAAACCCTAACCCCCAAAGTGATGGTATTTGGAGGTGGGGCCTTTGTGAGATGATTAGGTCATGAGAGTGGATGGAGCCCTCATGAACAGGATTAGGGCCCTTACAAAAAAGACCCCAGAGAGCTCTCTCATCCCATCTGCCATGTGAGGGCACAGTGAAAAGACAGCCACCTATGAACCAGGAGGCAACCTCACCAGATACCAGATGTACTGCTGGTACCTTAATCTTGGACTTCCAGTCTTCAGAACCTCAAGAAGTAAATGTCTGTTGTTTAAGCCCCCCATTCTATAGCAGTTTATTACAGAAGCCCCAAATGCACTGAGACACTCCTATTGTGCCCAAAGGGGCTGCCTCAGTGGCACGAACATCGCTGGCAATACACCCTGCCTCCTTCACCAGAACCCAGCACTTGCACAAGAAGGTCTTCTTTAGGACATTCTGCCAGAGACGAAACAACTGAAACCATCTGAATATTCATTTCCACAAGCCTAAGAACTACCAAACAATGTCCTTTTCAGACCCAACCCATTATGATTGGATCACCTTGCAAAGGGAGAGGCAGTGGGTGTTGCCACACCCCCACTAGCAACAGCTTGCTGAATCCCTCTCAAAGCTGCCAGCTGGGGGCCACTCCAGGCACAGCCTCCTGTAGACAGATACTCTGCACACACCAGCCTCTCACCTTCACAGAAGAAGCACTCCCAGCTATCAGAGGCTGCACAGCTGCAGAGGCTCCCCTGGCCTGACTCGGATACTGGTGCCCCTCCCTAAGACCCCAACCCTTGCATTAAAAGGCCCCTACCCTCTTCCACCTACAGTCCTGATTAATAGCCCACAGGGGCTCTAGGACACTGGTCTCTGTCTCCACAGACCCTCTCAGCCTTGCCAGGCTACCCATGTTGATCTCTGGTTTGGAAAACGCAGCTCCTGGAGCTGAAAGAATGGGAGTCGTCCTCTGGATTGAGCATAAAGGGGGAGTCTGGCTTCTGTAGGCAGCCCAGGCTGAGGCTTTGTGACCCACCTAACCTGTCCTACCTGACATCTAACTTGCCTTTGCTTCTCAGGGCTCTGCTGCACTGAGGGCGTCCAACTGTGAGTGGGATCCAGGATGGGGCAAAAGTAGGCTTATAGTTGTTCATACGGAAAATAATACAATAATTAATAAATGATAATACTGTTTGGCATACTCACAACTGTAAGCCTACTTTTGCCCCACCCTGTAAGCACTCTCTTTCTCGCGGAGGGCAAAGTGCTTCTGGCCCTTCTGCTCACTGCCCAAGAGGATGCCATTCTGAAGAGGGTCACAGGGACATACAGGAAGTGGGCATATTTCTTTATGCTGGACTCTGAGAGTGCAACACCCTGTCCAAAGTCCTCATTCACATGTGGGGAAACTGAGGAAGTGAGCATCAAGAACGGAGCTGGAGACCTGGATGTGAGGCCCCTCTAACAGTTCAGCTGTCAGTCCTAAGCCATTAACTTGCCACCTGAGACATAGTCGCTTTGTGTGTCAAAGACAACAACAAGGCCTTTGGGGTGCTGCCTGGTGACCACCTGCCTGAGACCCCATAGCTCACACTGGCTCCAACTGAAGACTCATATACTCGAGCTCATTAAGTCACTTCAAAAACTCCGAAGAATTTGTGTTCCTTTGTTTCTGCTGAATAAACTATTGATGGTCAACTTTCCAGGAGTTTCTGAAACCTCTCTCAAACACTTCTGATAACGACCTGGCATAGGGTTTGTGTGAGATTCGGAATCTGAGGGGAAGAAGCCATTCTCACATACCTTTGTAGCTGAGCGATCTCTTGACTGATATCATCGAGTTCCTTCACACCCGTGAATTCCCCTGATCCAAGAGAACTTGAGTTGTCCTGGAACCAAATTCAAACATGGATTACATATTACCACACTCACCTCACCACACAGTAGGGACTAGTGGGTCTTAGAACGAGGAATAAAATCATCTGTATCCCCCACCCCAGCCGGGGAACTATCTGGGCATCCAGACACACCAAAGGCCCCTGGGGAAGACTCACACAGGCTGCCAGCGCCACCTGGTGGCGGGCTGTGGAAGAGATTCAAATACAACAGGGGTGTGCCAGTGGCTACTCACCGGGATAGGGGTGCCTCTCTCTGAGGGTGGGACCATGTCCGGCGAGAGGACCTGAGGGGGGTCGATGCCTTTACTGACCTTCTGCTGAATGAAATACATAGCTAATGCGAATTGGTCTTTGCTTAACTTCCCCGTTTGCCTCGTATCGGCCAGGGCCCTGGGAGAAACGTGGGGACGCTAATTACACATCACAGACTTCAGATTCAGGATTCACCCGGAGCAATGAGTACCAGTCATGGGACTCATGCTTTTAAAAAAAGGATGATGATGATGATAAGAACAACAGGCCATAGCACAACACCTATTCTTCTAAACATCCCACTCCGGGGATCAGGCCTGGCCTCCCACCCAAGCTTCCTGCCCAAAGGCTGGTCAATGAGGGGCTGTGGGAGCAGGAGGGGGCTTGCTCCCTCCTGGATGTTTATCATATGTTGGTGGTAGACACAACAGTCCAGGACAGAGTAGTCATTCCCATGGAAATGGAAGCTGGGCCAAGTGAGCACTCAGATCTTTATCAGATTCCTGCAGCCTGGGTCATCTTAATGGCCTGGGCCACTGGTTTTCAATGGAGACAATGGAAGCAACATTAGGGTTGTCATCATGAGGGGATGGGACCTAGAAAGCCAGGCAAGGTCGTGCTGCACAGGGCAGTCCCTCCCTGCTGAGGTGTCACTGCCTGTGTGGCCTTCTGCTGTCCTGCCAGACAGGCAAGGCAGCACATAGCTCCATGACACCCTCAGGAACCAGTAGCTGGCCACTATGGGAAGGGAAGCCTTGCAACGGTAAGGAAGCAGCTTCCACATCTTCAAGAAACGTCTTCCCTTCACTCAATCACTGCCCACTCAACACGTAGCCTCTTTCCCACTGTGCGAAGTCACTGCAGAAACAAGACCATTTTCTAATGCACAGCAAGGAGAGCTGAGAATGTTGAACAAACTCAGGCCCAAACACTGTCAGTGAACAGGGCCGCAGGGAGCCTGGGAGTGTGAAGACCTGCTGAATGTCGCTAATCAAGGCTGGTTTTAAAAAGTCTTCGTTCTTGTCAGTTTGAGGGCACAAGTTCGCACTGCAACTACTTGGTCTACCTGAGGGGGCCGGTCCTGCTGCACACCCACAGCAGCTCAGGCTCTTCTCTCCAGTACCTCCCCATCTCTCAAGGATCCAAGGCCATGTGCTGGTGCTCTGTCAGGGTCCATGCTGGTCCTGACACTATGCTGACTGACCAGGTGCTGGGTGCTGTTAGGGGAAAGACCTACTCGCTGTTTTCCCCCTGCAACCTGTCTTGCCCTGTTTTCTCCCTTTCAGTTACATCCCCTTCCCCAGGCCACCTGCAGACTAATCTAGATGTGGTTTAACTTTCCTAGTGGTGACTCTCACACTCACACAGTATGTCCTTTCCCTTTGCTACCTGTATGCAATCCTCTGCATTCTTTTTTTTTTTTTTTCAAATATATCTTTATTGATTTTAGAGAGAGAGGAAGGGAGAGGAAGAGAGAGACAGAAACATCAATGATGAGAGAGTCATTGATCGACTAGCCTCCTGCATGCCCCTGATTGGGGATCAAGCCCGCAACCCGGGGATGTGCCCTGACTGGGAATCGAACCCCGATCTCCTGGATCCTAGGTTGATGCTCAACCACTGAGCCACGCCCGGCCGGGCTGCATTCCTTCTTTAATCCAAGAGTATTTGTGATTTCATTGTGTCATTTTACGAGTTGTTATACCACTTACAGGTTGGGGAATACATTATAAATTTCTTCCTTTGCATTGTCCCTTTAAGTAATGATCGGGGGTCATCATGTCGCTACCTTTGAATTCTGTATACATCCATTTCAAGTGATAAAGGGGACACTGGATCTGAAGGGGCTGCAGCTGGAAATCCCCCAGCTATTTTGTGCCTGACTGTGGGTGTCATGCATTCCTGAGGATGGCACGACCCACTTCCTGGGAAGAGGCCTCACTTTACAACATGGAATTACTACTCTACTTGAAGAACTCATCTCTCCAGAATTACATGAAAATTCTCTCCTTATAATTCCCAAGTGAAGCTCCCTAAGGTCTTGAGCTCTAGAGGACAAAGCTAGGAAGTGACACTCACCACTGGCCAGTTATAAAAGGAGCCACCCCAGTGATGTGAACATTGCTCTGCCTGGCCCCAGAGGAAAGTGGGAGTGAGGCCTGCTCCTCAACCCAGCCCTGAGGTGCAGACCAGTCTTACCACAGCATGCCCAGTAACTGACCTGCATAGGGCATGGTCTCTAGGGCAGGCAACTATAACCTTCACTGCCCAGGCTGGCCCCACTGGAGCCTTCAGAATCCTTATTGCATATTCCCCCAGAGGTGGCAGGGCCAAGTGCCTCCACCCAACAAACTGTGATGAAGGCTGGACCTCCCACTAGAACCAGCATAATCACTAGCAAGAACTGGTCCTAGCCATTCAAGCAGGCCATCCCAGAGCTCTGTAGGGGGACAAGACAGTCCACCTGGTGGAAAGTGAAATGACATGCACGAAATACAGGGTATAGGCCTTTACACCTGTACCTTGCTCAGCCCCCATCAGCCTGGCGAGAATAAACTAAGTGATAGACACAGAGGCCTGTGCAGGGCTGAGGAGGCACCCTGACCACCCCTGACTGCCACACCCTCCTGTCTTGCTTATCCCTCCAGTGCTTCATACACACAGCCTCATTTCCACGGGGTCCCTTTGAGCCACCCATAGCCATTACTTTCACACAGTGAGGCCCAAATACTGAGGAGCGGATGTCCATCTGTCCTTACCATATGTGTGCTAGAAGGTTCTGGTTGAGGCCAGAGTGCATGAAGATCTCCTTCACCTCCTGGCCACTCACATAGCCATCCAGGTCCAGGTCAGTCTTCAGGAATATCTCATCAAAGCGCATCTTGTCTGCCACTGGCACCACCCAGTTTACTGTTGGCTGAAAGGGTTTTTTTCCAATGGTTAATCCTCAAACTTTTCATAACCTACAAATATACCGTATTAAAGTGCATCAACATGCATTTTAGTAGAAAATCCTCCTCAGGACTCCATGAGCTGAGAGGGCAGACAGGATCCCAGTCCTGTAATAGGGGAAACTGAGGCTGAGTTTAATACCAACTCGGTCAGTCTCACCCAGTGGCCAGCCTGCACCTCGTTGCACCCCATCACAGCACCACCCTCTCCTTGTGCTGAGAGGGAGGCAAAGACCCAGCAGGGCTGACCACCAACAGTTCTTCCACCTCCACTGCCAGTAATCTTCCAGGAGAGGCTTCGAATGTGTTGGGCAAGACCCTCCTGACCACACAAAGGAGATGGGAGATGGAAGGCATGTCTCCTGAGAATTGGCCCAGCTCTCACGCCAGCCTTCCTGGTCTGCCATCTTCTGTCTGCAAACACTACTTTGCAGCTGCCAGGGATGTCTTGATACCCATAATGTCAGGATTCTGTACTCCAACCTTTGTCTCTGCCCTGACTCTATGTGACACAGAAGTCCCCCTGTGAGGTGTCAACATGTGCACAGCCCTGACAGGGAACAACTAACGAGCATGCCCAGGATTCTCAAGGGAGGGAGCTGCTCTGGCAGACCAATGCAGTGTGACTTTAGCATACGTGGAGCTTGGCCTCACACTGCCTGTTCAAGTTTACTTAAGAAGGACGAATGCCACCAAGGGTCTACTAGGGCCTATGCAACTCCTAATTCAGGGGCTTCATGCCCCTTGGATGCTTGGGGATAGGCCCCTTCAATTGCTAATTCTAGATGTATCGCCTCTGACCTTTGGCATGCTCCTGGCACCAAGGTCCACAGCATCTCTGCCCCTTTTCCTAAAGAAGTTTTTCCTCATCTGCTTTTCCTAAATAGGTCTCCTTCATTATCCCAACTCTACCAGGATCCTGATGTGAGTACCAGGGATCCACAAAGTGAGGTTGGGAAGCCAGGGCACCATGTCACCCATATTGTTTCAGTTCAGGGTTTTGGATAGGAAGTAGAATAACTTAGTACAGCAAGGAATTAATCAGGAAACTTATCAGAATCTAGGGACTGAATTAAAAAAGCAAGGGCTCTCAGCTGGTGTGGCTCAGTGGTTAAGCGTTGACCCAAGAACCAGGAGGTCACAGTTCCATTCCATTTTGTCAGGGCACATGCCCGGATTATAGGCTTGATCCCCAGTAGGGGGCATGCAGGAGGCAGATGATCAATGACTTTCTCTCATCATTGTTGTGTCTATCTTTCCCTCTCCCTTCCTTTCTGTGAACTCAATAAAAAATATATATATATTTTAAAAAGCAAGGGCTCTAATAGAGAGACTTCAGGCAGCAAGACAGACCTACATTTTATTTATCACATTATGTGACTCTTGCAAGCTGCTTCCCATCTGCTGTGGAATAGGGTCAGAGGAGATGCACATACAGGAGCTCTAGTGCGTAAGAGGCTTGCTGTCTTAAGTCAAATGGGAGCAAGCTAAACCTCAGACACCAAGAGACCCAAGGAAGAAGTAACCGTGGGTCAGACAGGTTAAGCTGAGGAGAATGGTTTCTGTCTGGGACAAGTCCTGACATTTGCTGCACAAAGAGAATGACCTTGCTGCCTGATTTCTGGGGTATCGGAGCATGTCAACAGCAAAATCCTGATGCCTGCTTGGCTACAAATCCATACAGGATAGTCTTCCTCTAGAGCTGGGTTTAAGGCTGGCTCAGTAGCCACAGGCCCCCAGTGAATGAGAACAAACCCTGGTGGCTAGAAAGAGCTTCACCCCACATCTGGCCATGAAGGCAAGACCAGGTGGCCCTTGGGGGAGCCCCAGACAGGGCATTGCTGATCTGGAGATGATAGAAGTGGTGAGAGGGAGCATGGTGACTATGAGTCCCCAGAAATGCCCATTCTCATATCTGTAATTTGTCCAGTTGGCCCTATTCCTGAAGGGGAAACACCCTCCCACGCCCACCTCTGTCCCTAGCAGAGGCCACTGGCAAAATCGGTCTAGTTTAAGAACTCTTGACAAGCCCTGGCTAGTGTTGCTCAGTGGTTGGAGCGTCAGTCCACCCACCAAAGGGTCATGTGTGGAAGGTAACCAATCGATGCGTCTCTCTCACATCGATGTTTTCTCACTCTCTCCCCCCTCCCATCCTCCTCTCCACTTTCTAAAATCAGTGGAGAAAATATCTTCCGGTAAGGGTTAAGAACAAAAAAAAGAACTCTTGGCAAGAATTCTGCAGACTACAGAGGTGCTAGGTTGTCTTGGAAAACAACAGTTGGTACAGGTCTAAATAACCAGCCTCACCCCCTCTCTGTCCCCTTGTTTACCTTGCCCTGACATTTTCCATTTCTAGAACACACCAAGTGCTCCCACTTCAGACCCCGGAGCCCTGGCACAGACTAGCCCTCTGATAGCTTCTTGTCATGCAGATTTTAGCTGAGAAATCACTTCATCAGTGACTGTCCAGCTGGCCCCATCTGCAGAAGCATGCCCCCCTATTCACCCAGACATTTCCAGGCCAGGCCCTGTCCTGGTTTTTCATGACTGTCAAACTTTCCTTAGTTTATTTATTTACTTATCACTTGCTTTCCCATAAGGGCAGAGGCCTGTCCCACAGTCACTGTGGCACTCTCTCCCACAAGACCTCCAAAACACTCTGGACTTGGCTGGAGAGCTGTTAAAGATATCTGGCTGGGCCATCTAGACACAGGCTTCTTAGCAGACAGCCACACAAAATTCACCAACCAGAGGTTAAAAGCTGTAAGCCATACCCTCCACCTGGCCAGGGCACTTACAGGAGCTGCATTAGCCTCATGACCAAGCCACCTGACCCTCTCTGATCTCCTATATATATACGTATACATAATCACACATATATATATTATTATTGATTTTTAGAGAGAGATAGAAACATCGATGAGAGAGAAACATCAACACGGATGGGCTGCCTCCTGTCACCCCCTACTAAGGATCAAGCCCACAACCTAGGCATGTGCCCTGACTGGTAATCAAACCCAGGGACCTCTTTGGTGCATGGGTCAATGCTCAACATTGAGCCACCAGCTGGGCTGATCTTTTTTTTACACTCTAGGGTGCAAAGCTGTGTTCTATGAACTCCTGGAAAATCAGCCTCCTGAGTCAGAGGTTTAACTTTAAAAATATGTCATGAACAAAAGAAATCACTGTCTGATTATGCACTTCTCATTTTCATCATATGATGAAGTTGCATGGTGGTGTTGGCTGGCCTGCTTGTTACATTCATTACTTTGTCTTTGAAACCACAAATGAGGCAGAAAGCGAAGATGTAACTCAAGTTCAGGTTCTTGCACATTTTAGACAATCTCATAGGTATCCTTTTATAAAGATGCTGCATTTGCCAGAAAAACATCTTTTTGATACATAAGATGCTACTGTACATGCAGAGAGTTTGAACCCCCCCATGTGTCTTCCTAACATGAGATGGATGTCTCTCACTCACCTAATCATTCAACATACATTCACTGAACGTCAAAGTACCAGAGATTGTTCTAGATAGTGAGATTATAACCAAGACCAGCTCTGCTCTCATGAAGCTACAGGGTGTATGTAAACAGACCATATAAAAGAGACCAAAAGAAGGTATGAAAATCTAGAAAAATGTGGGGTAGCCCAGGCCAAGTAGCTCAGTTGGTTAGAGCATCGTCCCAATACGCCAAAGTTTTAGGTTTGATCCCCATTCAGGGCACGTACAAGAACCAATGAATGCATAAATAAATAAATGGAATAATAAATTGATGTTTTTCCTCTCTCTTTTACTCTCTCTAAAAATCAATAAAAGTAATTTAGAAGAATGTGGGGCAGAGGGAGGAGAACAGTTGAGTAGGCAGGACCTGGGGATTGCTGGGTAATGGTGTGGTCAAGCCAGGCTCCCTGATGAGGTACCCCATTAGTAGAAGGCTCACTAAGCAATGTGCCACAGTGCAATCTGGGGACACCCCTCCCAGGAGAGGGACTGTATGAAGCAGGAGGGATAGAGAACTGAGGAGAGGGCCTGCCCAAAGTGGGAACTTACTGGGTGTGTATGAAGAAGGATGGTATTTATATGCAAGTGAATGAGAAAGTTAATTCCGAATCCCTGTTGCTATGGACTGGATGTTTGTGTACCCCTAAAGTCACATGTTGAAACCCTAACCCCAATGTGATGGTGTTAGAAGGTGGGGCCTTTGAAAGGTAATTAGGTCATGAGGGTAGAGCTCTCATGAATGGGATTAGTGCCCTTATAAAAGGGACCCCAGAGAGTTACCTAGCCCCTTCCACCATGTGAAGACGCAGCAAGAAGATGGCTGCCTGTAAACCAGAAAGCCCTCACAGTCTGCCCAATCTGCCCATGCCTTGGAGGCTTCCAACCTCCAAAACAATGAGATATAATGTCTGTTGTTTATAAACCACCTAGTCTATGGTATTATGGTACAGCAGCCCAAATGGACTGAAAAACCTATCACAAATATTTTTTTATTTTTTTTTTAAATATATCTTTATTGATTCCAGAGAGAGGGAAGGAAAGGGAGAGAGATAGAAACATCAATAATGAGAGAGTCATTGACTGAGCTCACAAGCCGGGCATGTGCCCTGACCGGGAATTGAACCCTGATTGCCTGGATCCCAGGTCGACGCTCAACCGCTGAGCCACGCCTGGCCGGGCACAAATATTTTTAATTTAATCATAATCATTGCTTTTGGGGGTCACAAAGTACTTGCTTCCAAGAAACATCTTGCTGGGGCTCTACACATGAAAATGGCTGTGCTGAGAAGTGGCCACGCACACAGAGGGTACCATACCTGTGTTTGCTTGATACTGTGCTTGGGAGACAAGCTTCCTGTGCTGTTTAGGCTGCTGACACTGCCATGGGAAGGCGTGGAGCGGAGGCTGTCTTTGGGCGGGGGGCTAGCGGGCAAAACGGGCACAGCACCTGGGAATACTGTCTTCTTTCTCTTAGAGGGTGGGATGAGGGATGGGGGCAGGACGGAGGGCACAGGCTCCTTCTCAAGGGCTCGGTACACCAAGTGCATGGCCTGTAAGCGCAAAAGAGAATCATGTTCAGGTTGCCAGGCAGAGGTACGACAGAGGGCAGCTCCATCAGGGAATGCAGTGACAAGACAAAGATTATTCTTTTTTTAGGTCACTTCTAAACTGAACAAGTAAAAATAAACCTCTTCTAATCAGCTATACTTCCAATGTAAAATTTTCCAAGACATTTGTGTAATCATGTGAGACTGAATGAGTACAAAAGGAAGTAGATCATGCCAAACTCCACACATGTCCCTTCACTACATAGGAGGGCGACCGGCTCCAGGGCTGACAACTTCCAAAGTATTGGAATTTGGAAGTCTAAAGAACACACCACGAGAGCTGTGTTTACTTCAAGATATTCCAGAGACACAGAAAACTACAAGAAAGGGCGCTGTGCCCAGGACAGGTGGATCTCCTGTTTGAGGGAGGTAGGGAATGGAAACTTTGTCTAAAACAAAGATTAAAAGTTTATTTTAAAATGTAACAAAACCAAAAGGGCACATCTGTAATACCTTCAACAATAAATATAATTTATTTTTTTTTAATTCAGGAAAACAAAATCACAGCCTGAGTGCCTCAGTGGTTGAGCGATGACTTATAAACTAGGAGGTCACAATTCAATTCCTGGTCAGGGCACATGCCTGGGTTGCGGGCTCAATCTCGGGTAGGGAGGGTGCGGGAGGCAGCCCATCAATGACTCTCTCTCATCATTGATGTTTCTATTTCTCTCTCCCTCTCCCTTCCTCACTCTGAAATCAACAAAAACATATATTTTTTAAAAATGTAACAAAACCATTAAAACAAAAAACACACACAAAACCACAATTATAACCCTCCTCACTTCAAACTATTTTTTAAGTTGCTATTTGCATAGAGAACAGATCCTTAATACAGGTAGGTAACTATAAGACTGACAAATTTTACACCAGCTGGTGAAGAAAAGAACACAAAATGATACAATTCTAAGACCCATTTATAAAAGAACATAAATCTTGGCTGACATGATGAGAAATGATAAAAACAAAACAAAAAGGGAGACTCGGGGCTCATGAAGCTGTGAGAAGACAGAGGCCCATTCCAGGTTCACTCTGGGCCAATCACCCCATTCCTGAGGACCACTCCAAGGGCATTTCAATGATATGAAAACTTTAAGTCAAGTGCAATCAAAAGAAACATAAAAAATAAATAATGAGGGGGCTAGGGGAGGAGGCTGGGGAGTTTAAATAGGGGCAGGGTTTCGGTTTTGCAAGGTGTAGTAAGTTCTGGAGATGGACGTGGTGTTGGTGGCACAGCAAGGTGAATGTACTTAATGCCACTGAATTGCACACTTAAAAATGGTTAAAATGGTAAATTTTATGCTATATTTTACTACACACACAAAATAATAATAATAATGAACAACAAGTGAAAACAACAGAATGATGGAGAAACATGGAAAATGTTCAAAAGTGAAAAGGCAGAACAGAGTTGACTTGTGGGGAAAACACCACTGAGTGCTTGTTGGATGTAAGGGGTTATAAGGAGAATGGTAAGAGAAATCTGTAATTCCCTTGTAAAACGATTTAGATTTCACCTAGAGTTTAAAATCTCAAAGGCTTTATACACATAATAAAGAGAGTAAGAAGCTTCAATTCATGCATATGTTGTAAAATCATTTAAACATTTAAAGATGTTTAGAATTCCTAGAACAGAAGTAATATCTTAGGGATATGGGGTTGGGTATTCCCAGATATTCACAATCGTGTTGTTTTAATTTTGTTCTTTTTTGGGGGGAGGGGCTGAACTTAATTATTGTTTATTAAAGCCTTGCCCTTAACTACAAGGGGATACTTTATTCTTTGTTTGAAATTTAATGGAATGAAGCGAGTGAATAAATCCCATGAATGGGAGAGAAAGATCCAATGTGGGAGTGAAGTGGCAGGAAGAGAGGAAGAAAAGGAGGGACAGACTGACAGGTGCACAGGATGAGGAGGGGAGGCTCAAGGGGAGGTCAGCCCAGCCCACTGGGCAGCTGAAGAGGCAGGTGGGTTGCTATAGGGGTGTAGAGGGAGGGCAGCTACATGGGAAGGTAGCAAATAGGACAGAAGAGCTTTATCTACACACAGCTCCACTGCTGTCACTAAAAGGAGGAGAGGGTGAGAGTGCCTGAGTTAGGCATGGACAGAAGCCGATGTGGAGCAGATGTTGGTGTGCTGGGGCACCTACACCCCAGTGCCCAGATCCAGGTTTCCAACACCATTTTCCACTACAAGGACTGGGATTCCCTGGGAAAAAAGGCTGATACAGGGGAGCCAGGAGTGTCTTAATGTGCCATGAGGAAGCAACTGGTCAGAGAATGATAGGATGTGATCAAAGGACAAAGGAGTCAGCTTCAAGGAACTCCCACTGGGCAGAATAAGTCAGGATAGTAAAGAATATAAACTGTGGAGCAGAGGACACATCCATTGGTCCACTCTGATACAAACAAATTCCTGACAGCAGAAGGCTAGCTAGAAAATGCACAAGGAATGATGGAATTACAAGATCACCACCTGCAAGCACCAGAATCCTAACTGATGTAGGCAAGACCCCTGGGAGGATGGGAGAATTAGCAGGTGAGAATCGGAGGGGTATCAGGGTGTTCATGTGTCTCTCACAAAAGACTGAGCACAAAGAAAAAGAGTAATTACGGGGAGAAACCCTAGCCTCCACCCTGACCTCAATCAAGAACTGACACTGTTGTAATGACATGTAATAAGACATCACACATCCTATAGGTGACATGTCGTAAGACATCACACATCCTATGGATACCCCAGAGAACACTCATCACCTCCGTGCGGTACTACCCCATGAAAGTGCCTGGATCATCAGAGGGAACAAAAGATAAGGGACACGCTACAAAATGTACTCTTCAAATGCCCAAGTGGCCATGAAACATGAAGACTGACAGAGCTGCCCCAGATTAGAGGACACAAAAGAGACAGGGCTATAGAATATAACACACCAGGCTGGAGTCTCTTTCACTACTTTTGGGGACAACTGGCAAAAATATGAATAATATCCTTAGATTAGATACTAGATGATATAATAAATATAGTAATATATAAGATATAACCTATAATAATAATTACTATAATAAGTTAAATAATGTCAAAGTTCATTTCCTGATTTTGAAATAAGTGGTTATGTAAGAAAATTCCTTGGTTTTAGGAAACATACACAGAAGTATTTTGGGTTTAAAAGGTATTGCATCTGCAACTTACTCCAAAATGGTTCAAAGGAAAAATTCATGGATGTGTACACATATATATAGATACTCATAAAGAGAGGAAGAAAGGGAAGAAAAAAGACAAATGTGACAAAATAGTAACACTGGAGAATCTCAGTGAAGGGTATTCAGAAGAATTCTCTGTATTACTGTAACTTTTCTTTAAATCTAAATTATGTCAAAATAAACACTTTTAAAAATTAAAGAAGAGGCACAACAGAGTGGGGAAAGAGAGTCACAGCAGGGGCCTACCACAGCAAACTCATCTCTGTCCAGGTGTCCGTCCTTGTCAATGTCACTGAGGTCCCAGACCTGCAAGGGAAAGAGCAGCAAGGCTTACTGGGGGAGGTACCAAGGCTTCCTGGGGGACAGGGAGTACCAAGGCTTACAGGAGATGCACTTGGTGTGCATCAAGTGAGACCACCAGAACTCAGATTCTGAGTGCATGGCAGAATTAAAATAAGGCAACCAAAATGTATTAAGAACCACTCTGCAGGTTCTCTGAAAAACCATCATCCAATGAAGTGTTATAAGTTCCAAGAACCATTCTGTCGTATTATGCTCATTTTCTCTAACAAATTACCATGATTATAATCACATCCTCTCTGATATTTTTCTCTATCACCTTACAAAGAAATCTTAGAAAAGATAGTTTGGTTTTGGCACAGGTGTTGCTCTAAACATAAGACACACACACACACCCCCACTTGCAAACACAAACCAGCTCCCACCCCCATTCTTGATGCACAGGACGGTGGGCATGTGGTTGAGCAGGTCTGTGGTGTCTTATCTCCTCTCCCATCAGCAGATGGTGAGTCAGGTGCCATGGAATGTGCTAGGCCCACCTAGCACCTGAAGACCAGGTATGAGTTCCTAGAAAAAGGCCACATGCCAGATTTTTTAAAGCACAATTGAGACACTGACCCAAGTCAACTGCCCCGGACCAGCAGGCCTGCTTGACTTGGACAACACCAGGCATAGCACCACTGCCCAGAGCTAAATGGACACCCAAGAGTCCATATGAGATGCTTTATGTGCTGGTACCCCTACCCACCCCCATCAATCATTAGGAACTTCTGTCCAGGGGAGTTTCTCACATGTGAGTCCTCCTCTCCACATTGCTGTGTCCTTGGCTATGACCTCTCAAATATTCCAGAGGCCAGAGCCTCCAGCTTGCCTCGCTGCCTTGAATTCTGTCCCCAGGGTTACCACAGGTACTGCTTTAGAATGAACTTTGAGCCCACCATGCCCTGCTGACAGCTCCTCAGTCTGGCACATGGAGTCCCCGGTACCCTTAACAGATCCTGCACCACAGCCTCCTGGAACTTCACCTTGACCTTTAAGGACCCCAAAGTATTTATAGTCCTCTCAAGCATAGGGATGCCTTTTTAAAGGTGTTCAGGAGCCCAGCTAGGCATGGCTCAGTGGCTGAGCATCAAGCTAGGATCCAGGAGATCGCGGTTCAATTCTCGGTCAGGGCATATGCCCGGGTTGTGGACTCGTTCCCCAGTCAGAGGAATGCAGGAGGCAGCCACTCTATCATCATTGATGTTTCAACCCTCTCTCTTTCCCTCAACCTGAAATCAATAAAGATATATTTTTTATAAATAAATTAAAAAATAAATAAATAAATAAAGGTGTTCAGGAAAGCTGGCAATAATAAAGCCATGTTACAAGCCTTAAAGACATTGAAGTTATTAAGGTCCTTGAAAATGGCTAAAAAAAAATTTTTTTTTTTAAATTTCAACTGCTGAGCCATGCCCGGCCAGGCTAGAAGAAATTTTAATAATGAAACCATTTTCATAAGACATGAGCTAATTTTAAAGCTTTAGTATAACTAGTACTGATGACTTGGTGGAATTTCCAAATGTTAGTAAAAAATAAAAAAATAAAGGTGTTCAGTACTGGGCTGAGTGCTTTATGCCTTTTCAATTTAGGAAGCAGAGGCATCAGAAGAGTAACCTTCCCAAAGATACAGTATATGTGCGGGGGAACCAGGACAGGAATAGGCCTTCCTACCCTCACAGTCCTCTGTGCCCAGGGCTTTCCCACTGACATGAGCCAGATCATTCTTTGTGGGGCATCCAAGGCACTGCAGGGTTTCGTGCAGCATCTCTGGCCTCCATCCACATGACGCCAACAGCACCTGACCCAAGTGGGACAACCAAAACTATCTCAAGACATTGCTCAATGTCCCCTGGGGGCAGAATTACACTACCCAGCATGCCAGGCTGCCTCTAATTATGCTGCCACGTGCCTGGCCTTCTCAACCTGTAGTCTGCCACACATCTGGAGGACACCACCCAGGGGCACCTCCTTTAGGAGGCCTTCCCTGCCTGCAATGTATCCCTCTGCTCAGATAAGTCAAGCACCTCCCTCTACTCCTGTCCTCACTGGACAGTGGAGGGTGGGGAGCACCAGAGAAGAGTGGCGATTCTGGAGACCACCCAGGGCATTGTTCCCTTCTCTGTGCAACTGTGGGTGATTTACCGGTCACTCTTAAGGCCCCCATTTCCTCATCTGGAAAGCAGGGGTGACACCATCCAAATATTGGTGGCTGCAAGTACTCAATGGCTTCATTCACGCAAAGTGCTAGAACAGGATATGGTGCATACTAAGCCATCGATAAATAAATATGAGAATATTAACCATCATTTATTTATTGACCTCCTAATTGTACCTAATTTCATCCCCATCTTCCCAGTGCTCAGCACAAGGCCTAGTTTAGAAGCAGCACCCGTAGGGGACTGAAGCAACAGAGGTTACACTTGGTCCTGCTACTCTGGACCTGTGCCTGCCAAATCACAGCAATCCCATCCAGACAGACACAACCACCATTCCCTCTGAATCCAGAGCAGGAAACTCAGCACAAAGAAAAACTTTGTAGAACCAGCCTTTATGCACAGAGCAAATACCAGGGCCATAACACAAACCTCAGCAGAGGGAAAACAGTCTGGGAGACAAAACTGTATCTAAAAAACTTGTATTTTTACTTGAAACAAAATTGAGACTTTTTTTTTAAAGGGAGTGCATAAATTTTTTTTCTAAACTTGCAAAATTGAAAGTACCTTTACCTGAGGCAAAAAAAGTCATTAAAAAAAGAAAAGAGTTCTAGCCAGATGGCTCAGTTGGTTGGAGCATCGTCCCATACACCAAAAGGTGGCAGGTTCAGGGCACATACCCAGGTTGCAGGTTTGATCCCGTCAGGGCACATGCAAGAGGCAACTGATTGATTTCTCTCTCACATTGATGTTTCCTTCTCTCTCTCCCTCTCTCTAAAATCAATAAAAAAAACTTTTTTAATTAAAAAAAGGAAATCTTACCTTTAAAAAAAAACAAAAAAGAAATGATACCAATATATGCTCCTAGACTTCTCCCTGGAAGTGCAACTGAGATGGGCAAATCCTAGGTCTGGGTTTGAGTCCCAGCTCTGCCCGTCTGGGCAGCGAGTTCATTTCTGAGGCTGCTTCCCCACATGTGCAGTAAGCCACAGCAGCATCTTCCCAAAGGCTGGGAAGTATGTAAGCCACACTCGTGAGGCCCTGAGCCAACCTGGCTCCTGCAAGTGCTTCATCCACATGGGTTCTTACAAAGGCCCCTGAAGAAGCCATGTGTAAAGCCTAGAGTGTGTTCGTGGAGAGCAAACATGGAATTCAACAGAATTCAGGAGCCTAGCAGGAGGTGAGAGAACCACTTACCCTGCCCAGGACATCAAGAGGCAGCTTTGAGTTCATGAGGACTGGCTTGACTTTGTCTCCAGAGAGCAAGCCATTTATGGGTAATAGACTTTCGAAAATTCCATCAAATTTTGCCTTTTCTTCCACCTAGTTGGAAAGAAATAGCCTGAGTGAGTAAAAAAGTGGGCCTGCGGGAGAGTCCAAAGTGAGCTGGAAGCTCAGTGAAAACAGGCGAGGACCCACCCCTGGCCTCACTTAAGTGCACAGGATAGTCTTACAGTAGTCCCAGAATGAACTTATGCCTTGCAGGAAACCTCTCTCTGATACCCATAGATCAGGCAGTCAAGATCAATGGGAGAGAGAGGATCTGATCCCAGGAACTGCCAGGGAGACAAAATTCACTCCACCTGTGTCCTAGGACAAGAGCATGCATGGGTTTTAGTTCTTTAAGACAAAGAACTAAATCTGGATCTCAATCTACAGGACTAACAGAACTAAAGAACCAAATACAAAAGTAAACCAAAGATTTAAGTAACTAGTTATCCAAATCAGCTTTAAGCTAGGAAGTTCCCTGTGTCTAACAGAAAACAACAAATAATAAAAATCCTCATTAACAGAATGAAGGTCTGGGCAGAGCCATAGCTCCTGCTATTTTGAAATATGACATGAGGACTGCATGGAAAGGGGGCTGTTGGTGAGGAAGGTCTGAGTGGGGGATTCCAATCTGCCTCCTGCAGAAATAGAGCCTGCGGTAATTAGAACCAGGGGACTGAAGACCTCTCACCACCTGCTCTGACCACAAACCGAAGCCACTGGGGTCTGTAGGAAAACGCCCTCAACAAGTGCTCATCAAAAAAAGAAAAAAGAAGCAAAATGTGGTCCATACATACAATGGAGTATCATTCAAAATTGTAAAGAAGAGGAGATTCTGACACATGCTATAGCATGAATGGGTTTAGAGGACATTATGCTAAGTGAAATAAATCAGGCACCAAGGACAAATACTGTGTACTTCCACTTATATGAGGTGCCTAAAGTGGTCAAACTCACGGAGACAGAAAGTAGAATGGTGGGTGCTTGGGGCTGAGGGAAGGGGATGGGGAATTGTTTCTCTCTCACATCGATGTTTCTCTCTCTCCTCTCTCTCCCTCCCTCCCTTCCACTCTCTCTGAAAAGCAATGGAAAAAATATCCTCTGGTGAAGATTAAAAAAAAAAAAAGATGAACAAGTTCTAAAGATGAATGATAGTGATGGCTGCACACCAATGTGAATGTACTTAACACTACTGAACTGCATGTACGCTTAAAAATCATTAAGATGGTGAACTTTATGTTATGCGTGTTTTACCAATTTTTTTTAAAAAAAAAGAACATAAACAAGATGACCAGACACTGCACGCGAGTCATTGTGAGCAATAAGAAGCTAAACACCCTATGTCTGCCTCAAGCATTGGGCTTCTACTGCTGATCTGTTAGGGTCAATGACTTGGTACTTCAAGAAATCTAGAAACTCTCACAACAGAAAGAACATTTGGCACTTCAAGCTTGTTTGTCACTGTTTCTCTGATTGGAATCGCTCTTGAAAACAGTCTACACCATCCCAGCTCCACTCCTTCCCTGCCTGCCTGCCCTCCACAAGGCCTTGAAGGCTCCTCAGCTGAGGCCTCCACATGAACCCCACCAGAAAGAAGCCAGGAATGTTCAAGGAATAAGATCTCTTTGGTGCCATTTTTCATGACAATGCAGCCCTTTTTCAAAGCAGGAACCATGCAACTGAACAACAAAGAAAAAGTTCTTTGCTACTGTGATCGCCACCAGCAAACTGCTCAATTGCTCAGAGGTAACTTCACAACTCCTTGGTTACACGAGGCCTCCTCCTGCCCTGTCCCTGCACAGATCTCTCTCCATCCAAACCTTTCCAAGGAGAGAACAGGCCAACTACATAAAAACAGGAAAGAAGCACTTGGGGGCTGGGAAGTCTTTATCTTATAGCAATACTGTTGTTAATGTTAGTATTTAAGCCAAATAAAAGTAAGTAAATGTGACAATCCTCTCGCAGTGAGTGGGAGTGAAGAGGTCTCATTATCTGGGGGACCATCTCTGCATCCCCATGTGCATTTCCTTTAGGAGTAATTCTGCACTTATTAGAAGACACCACTCAGTTTTTTTCTTTCTAGAAGCAGTAACACAACTTTCCAGCGATAACATCTCTCTCTTAAAAGTTTATATGGTGACAGAAGCTGTTCAAAAAGTAATGAGAGCATCAGAGAAGGAAGAATGATAACACATAAACTAGCTGGAAATGATAGAAAGAGTAGCAAAGGCATGCTGGAGGTCCTCATACTTGCAAGTTCTAACAATTTCCCCTCTATCCTGATTAACCAACCCAAGCAGCAGAAACCACAGAACATGACATAGAAATGCATGACTTAAATTGTAAAATTTTCAGAATCCAATGCCTGAAACTTAGCTGACTGCCTTCGTAGGCAATACACAATTATAGTAAAAGGCAACAGCTATTCCAAAGACTTTCATTTGAAAGAGTATTTTGTCCAAATTCTGTGGCACACTCACTCTGAAACAGAGTAGGTGATACAACTGTCCCATAAAATATTTGAATAGACATCATAAATGGCTAAACAACTGTGAAGCCAAGGGGTGCCACCTCTGTCACTTACCCTCACAGCCCAATGGGCCTCTGCAGAAGGTGGTGTGACCATCAAAGGGCTGCTGGTGTCATGCTGGGGAAAAAAGAGAAAGAGTCTGCTGTGGGTGGCATGGAATTAAATTGAAAGAGGATGTGTTTATGGAAAGGATACACATTTCAAAGTGCTTTCAAAACGGGGAAAGAACTGGTGTGTTCCTGCTCCCAGGCGCACACCCACGCTGTTCCCTTCCCCCTCTTCTTCCCTCTTCAGGTGTGCATCTCCTAAACTTTAAGGGATCCCAGGAGACTTGCAACCAGGGGAGCAATGGGCAGTGGCAGCTCATCCCAGGCTTATCCCCGAGCCTGTCTCCATGGTCTCCTTTTCTCTGACTTTCCAGTGAGCTGACAGCAGCCCCACCTTGGCTCACTTCCTCCCATAACGTTTCTAGAGAGCCAAAGCAGCCCCACTTAATCTTTCTCCTGTTGCTTCTTCTATCCTAGGCCCTTCCTTGTTTCACTGTCCCCAGCTTTAATAAATGTACTCTCAAAATTAAAAAAATTAAAAAACAAGTGGGAAAGACCTCAAAAAGTTAAACACAATGACCACAGGACCCAGCAATTCCCTAGGTATGTGCCCAAAAGAAGTGAAAACAGGTGTGCAAACAAATCCCTGTATATGAATTTTTATGTCCATCAGCAGATAAACAGATTAAACAAAATTGGTGGGCCATAAATGCAATCTTTTTCAGCCACAAAAAGGAATGAAGCATTGACACACACTACAATGTGGATGAATCCTGACATTATGCTGAGTGAAAGAGGCTAGATGTATGACTCCATAAAATGTCTAGAACAATCATCCAGAAACAGAAACATTAGTTGCTGCCAGGAGCTGCAGGAAGGGGAAATGGGGAGTGATTACTTAATGGGTAGAGGGTTTCCTTTAGGGATGATGAAAATGTTCTAGAACTATACAGAGGTAATGGTTGCACAATATTGTCATTGCACTAAATGTCACAGAATTGTTCATAATTTTCAGTTTTGTGAATTTCATCTCAACAAAAAAGGGAGAGAGAACAGAGAGAGAGAGAGACAGGCAGAAAGACTGATAGATGGGTGATATTACAAGGCAAACTGGAAGGATTTTGACACTTACGAATTTAGGAGGTGGCATGTTCAGATTCAGATTGCTCAAGGTAACTTCATGGCCACTCTGTGCACAGGCCACTAGTCTCAGTGCAACATAGAAACCCTGCAAGTCCAAAAAAGGAGAAGGTGTAAATCCTACCCAGTGGGCAGCAGCAGCAGAGGGAGAACTATCTGCAGCAGCAGGCTTCAGGGAAAGAGGGATTTCAGTTCACTTCAACAAGGAAGACTGCATGTGCAAAAGTCACTTACAGTGTCAAAATGAACTGGTCTTACCCAGTTCATTGTTTAAATGAATATGCTAAAACAGCCCATTTGCATTCTGAATGCTGTAAAATTTCAAAAAAATGTATTTTCAAAAATAATGAGTTCCCAACACTTAGGAAATGCTCCATCATATAACTAGCAAGCTTAACACTATGAATTGCGGTTCATATACTTGACTTTTTAAAAATGATTTGAAATAGACACAGCTGTTTGGGAATTTATATTCGGGATTCACTGTGATCCCCTTGGCTGGCCTCACTGAACAGGGGGTCCCTCACCCACCCACCTCCATCTGTCATGGCCTAAGGTGGACTGCACCTCCCATGCAGGGACAAAGGACCTGAACTAGCAGTCAGTAGCCTTGGCTCCTCCCTGCCCTCCTCCTAACCCTGAATGAACCACACCACAGGCTTAGTGGACTCACAGCACCACCTAATTTTTTAATTGATCAACTGGACCAAGAACATGGACTGTTTTTAAAGCTAGAATTACAGTTTAAAAAGTGTCTTAAAAGTGATAAGCAATAAATCAGTCTTCCTCAGGCTGCTGGCCACAGAATGTCCATGTAGAGTGTAAAGGGGACGTAAGTTTGGGGGAACTAAATTAGGAAAAGGTAATAGGCTTCTTTCCATTGAGGATTCTCAGACCTTATACAGGCAGATGCACAGTGTGAATCTCAAGGAAGGAAGGAATAGTGAATGATGCTTTCCAGATGGATCAGATCCTGGACTGTGAGACACCAGGAACAACATCCTTTGGAATGTAGTTTAGGGGAACGCTGAACTAAATTAAAATATGACCATTTAGAATCATTTCTAAGTACTATAAATATCCATTTATAGAATATTCTCAAAATGGTGAAATTGAAATGGAGAAGGAACCAGTGGTTGCCAGAGACTACCAAGGGCAGCAGGAGAAAGATTCTCTGGGGTGCTGGGGCAGGTCTATGTCCTGACTGTGGTGATGGTTACCTGAATCCATGCAAGTGATAAAATGATACAGAACTACACACAAACCCCCCCCCCAAAGAAGTGCTTGTAAAACTGGTCAGCTCTCACTGGCCTAGTGCTGCCCTGGCTCTGAACACTGTGCCACAATGACATAAGCTGCTCTCACTGGGGGAGCTGAGATAGGAAACACAGGAACTCTGAACTATCTCTGCAACTTCCATGAGAGTCTGAAGTTATTTCAATAAAATGTTTTTGAAAACATTTTAATTATTTGTAAGTACACAAAATATGAAGATATGCTACCCATGAAAGATGGCTCCAAATGTTCAACGAAAGGCCTTTATTCAGAAAGAAAACCTTCCCATTTTAACAATTTGACAACTGCACTTTTGACTAGTGACACGTCAGTGGTACGAACAGGAAGGAAGTACAGAGGTGGCCAGCCTGGGGCTCTGGCCCAGCCCTTCCACTTGGTTTGATGATACGTGTATATACCTGTTTGTCCAAGAACCCTTTACCTTCTGGGTCGGCCAAGTCCCATATCTGCAGAAACAAAGATTCTCATGAGTGAGACTGCTGATCACTGCCCACTTATTCACAAAACAGGAGCCACCATCGTTATATGTAGGCCTTAAGGGAAGGCCGGAGCAATCCCCAACTCATAGCAGATAAATGACCTATGCCCCTCCCTCCACCAGTCTGTGGCAGAGCCCCAAGAACACCCAGGTCCAGAGAACATCCAGGTACCAAGAACACCCAGGTCCATTCGGCTCCCAGGCTGGCATAAATCCATAAGCTGTTAAGACCTCTAAAATGCTCAGGCCTGTCTATGGCCATACCTTCCTGAACGCGCCCGATCTCGTCTGATCTCAGAAGCTAAGCAGGGTCAGGCCTGGTTAGTACTTGGATGGGAGACCTCTAAAATGCTCAGGCCTACTGCCTGCTACCTAAGCAGCTGGTGGCAGCTGCCACCAGAGCATGTGGACCCACCTATTACAGCGCTGAGAGGCTGGCAGTAGTCTGTTCACTCAGGAGTGCACAGGAGGACTGTCCCCAAGAAAAGAGGTCTATAGAGGGTAGCCTTCCACCTGCTAGGGGAGGCCCAAGGGCAGTCACAGAAATCACCCTCAGTCTTGACGTACCTTCCCAAGGATAATGTCTGAGAGTCCAGACTTCTTCAGAAAAAGTGCAGCTTCACTGGCTCCAACTCTCCCTGTGTATGCTGGGTCTACCTGCAATGGGGGAGCAACACTGAAATGCAGCTTCAGGAAGCAGAACAGCAGATAAGGCAGCACCCACCACGCTAACTGGGCTGATAATCCAGAGAACAGAAGGGACCAGAAGCCATGCCAGGCTTCAATACAGGGCTGTGCTCTCTGGGTCACTCACTCTCTAGTTCCATCCAAAAAGATACCAGTGAAACTTACCTGCTTGTAATAAGATTCATATAATGGATTTCCAGTGGGAATCTGTAAACAAAACCAGACAGTGGTTAAAAGTGGACATATCCCTCAATTTTGTCATTACCAAAATATACAATAGTGAAAAATAAAATATATGCACTTTATAAACGTCCTCTATGCATGGACTGCCGTTTATTTTCAGACACAGTTACTACACTTACTCAATTTAGAAAAAGGAAATGCTAATGCTCTTTAATAAGTCCCAATTTCTGTGCCAACAACATGGTTGCTCAGGCAGGAGTGACAGCCCAGACTCGATTCCCATGTGCTGAACTATGGGATTCAATGTGTCTGGGAGCTCAGAGAAAGACACCCTCATCCTTTGAGATTGTTCTCTGGCTCCAGAGTCAGAACAGGAGTCTCTGCACGTCATCATGAATCACCGGACACGCAAGCTTCAGATCAGTTTCCCAGCCCCAGGTTTCATCTCCCTGTGCCACCGAGGGACTATGCAGAAATGCATACTGGCTGGCCCCCGCTGGAAGAGAGCTGGCCAGTGATCACTCCCACTATGATAGGCAGGAAGTTCAAAATCCTCAGCTCAGCACAAAATACTCCACATTCTGGATATTAAATCCCCAAGACATTGCTGTTAAGTGTCTTGTCCAGTATAATGTGGCAAGTCAAGGCCACACCTGGATCCATCCTGGTTGGTAGCTGAACCATAGCACTTCCCACCATGTCCAGGACCTCTCTTCCAGTGAGCCCACCCCAATGGGGAGGAGACGGTAACCAGGGGAGGTGGCAGCTGGGAAGGAATTAAGCAGCCACTAAGATGTGGGCTACAAAGGCTGATACATGTTGGTGGTTTGTTTGTTTTTTTAAGATTTTTTTTATTGATTTTTAGAGAGAGAGGGAGAGGGAGAATATAAAACATCGATGTGAGAGTGAAACATTGATCGGTTGCCTCCTGCATACTCCCTACTGGGAATTGAGCCCGAAACCTGGGCATGTGCCCTGACTGGGAATTGAATCAGCAACCTTTTGGTGCATGGGACAATGTCCAATCAAGCCACATTGGCCAGGGCAATGTGTTGGTGTCTTACCGCATGAAGAGAGGAAGCAGTACGCAAACCTGTTGATTTAGTGAGCAAAGAAACATGAAAATGACACCATTACATGTATGATCATATAGAAGAACAAATGTGAACGCAGCAAAAGAGAAGAGAGTAGGAAAGATGAGGACTGGATGAGGGATAGGATTACAGTATTTATTAAAAAGTCTTTGAATGCTGTAATGTGATTTTTCACAATGAGTAAGGCTGGGGGAAGATGGGTTCCTTCTAGTTACAATCACTGGATTTGAACCAACCCAGCACTTGCTTAGGCTGTGCCATAAAGAGTCATTTCAGATTTAAAATAATGTCCAGATTATGGTCAGCTTCTCTAGGGGGTTCCAGCATCTGCCAGCATATGAAGTGAAAGTACTGAAAACAATACCACTACGCAATGAAAATAGAAGGAAAAGAGCATAGAGATCTGAAAGGGGAGGGAGGAAAGTCAAAACATAAAGAGAAAGGGGAAAATCCTGAAAAGGCAAAAACACTAAACAAAACAAAAACAAACAAAAACTAAGCAAGAGCCCTGGCTGGTGTGGCTCCATTGGTTGGCGCATCATCCCATACACCAAAAGATTGCGGGTTCAAGTCCCAGTCAGGGCACATACCTAGATTGTGGGTTCGATCCCGGGTCAGGGCACATATGGGAGGCAACAAATAGATATTCCTCTTTCCCTCCCTCCCTCCTTCTTTCTCTGAAATCCATGAACATGTCCTTGGGTAAGGAAAGAAAAAGAAAAAAATAAAACTAAGAAAGGCTGAAAGGTGAGGAGTGATGGCTTGAGAAAGAAAAGGTGATGACACCAGTGGGGATTAAGAGGTTAAGTATGCTGCTGCATCAACGTTCCCTGCCCAGAGTCCTTGCCCATCATCTGGCGGAGGCTATCATCCTTAGCTCCTTATGACCTTAGGTGACAGTGTCCACGATCACACTCTACATGGCCTCCTAAGTTTAAAACTCCCCATGTTTTCAAAACACTCCCATCTCCCAGAGGACTAAAGCCAACAGAGGAAGCAAAGACAGGCAGGCTATTTGTCATCTCTCAGTCAAGGTGACAGTGGCCGGGCCAATACAGCACATCATGAGCCACTGACACTAGAGTGGAATGCACAGACCCCAGAGGCCCCCCACTACGACAACAAAGGTCCCTTCCCGCCAAAAATCAGGAAGGCAAAGTTCTTAAGTGCATTTCCCATGAGGTTATTTTTAAAGATCTCATGGCAGGCAAGAAAGGTTTCCAAGCTACTATGATCCAGTGAAAAAAGTTACAGTATTTGGGGCAGACAGGGTTAACAACTGTCTCAAATTTCCCAAAAGCTTCTGAGCTTCAAGATCCATAATCAAGAGAAACAAGACCCTGAATAGTCCAGAAAGGTATCTGAAGCACCAGGCCCAAAGCTCCACCCATCTGTGCTGAAAGTCTAGGGGCCAGGTGTCAATCCCAAATCATCTCAACTGACAGAAAGACCAGAGTGTGCCTCTGCCACTCCTCTCTAACTATGGGAATTAACTTGGATAAGCTGGGGCAATGAAGCAGAGGTTTGGATTTAATTACACATATTTCAGCTACTGCAAAAGCAAAAGAGGAGGAAAGAAGGAAAAACACCAGATCTAACTAGCACTTCCTCTTAACACACTACTTTCTCATAGGGGCAGTGGTTATACCTTCAAGCTGCCCAAAATGCCACTGTGACAAAACTAAAGATGCATACTGTTAATGCCATCAATCTCAAACTATGGGCAGTCTGTGTGGCCAGTTCTTGCACAGAGACCTCAGTCACAACCAGCTGGCCAGTGGGGCAGCAGCTCCCAGAGGATGCATCAAAACTACTGGGACAAAACCCTTTGAGCTGCCTACCATGTCTGACCCCAAAGCAAGTCCAGGGCAAAGGCAGAAAGAGAACAGGCCAGGGGACAAGGCTTTCAGTGTAAGAGCCTGAAGAGGGCTGGGTGATGGCTTCAAAAATGGAAGCAAGGCCCTGGCAGGATAGTTCAGTTGGTTAGTGTTGACCCGATATGCCAAAGTTGTGGGTTCAGTCCCTGGTGAGGGCACATACAAGAAACAACCAATGATTGCACAAATATGGAACAACAAATCCATGTTCCTCTCTGTGTGTCCTTTTCACCTTTCCTCTCTCTCTCTAAAATCAATACATAAAAATTAAAATAAAATAAAAAAGAATGGAAGCAAGACATGGATGGCGTTTTCCTCTATCAGCCCACTGTACTAAAATGCCATCTTCAGCTTGGCAGTGTATGAATTATTGATGAGGTTCGGTAAGTTTTGATTAGACCTTTTAGTTGCTCTTCATGTCTCTTTTTTCTCTTAAAATAAAATTTTATTTTTAATTACAGTTGAAGTACAATATTATATTAGTTTCAGGTATACAATCCCATGATTAGAAATTTATATAACTTATGAAGTGATCACCCCAATAAATCTAGTACCCATCTGACGCCACACAGAGTTATTACAATATTATTGACTATATTCCCTCTTTACATCCCCATGACTATTCTGTAACTAACAAATTGTATTTCACCTTTATCATTCAGCTCCTCGAGCCCCTCCCATATGGCAATCATCAAAATGTTCTCTGTATGTATGAGTCTGTTTCTGTTCTGCTTGCCCACTTCTTTTGTTGCTTTAGATTCCACATGTAAGTGAAATCATCTGGCATTTGTCTTTCTTTGACTTATTTCACTCAGCACAATACCCTCTAGGTCCATTCATGTTGTTGCAGATGTCAATATTTCATTTTTTTATGACTGAATCATATTCCATTGTACATATGCACCACCACTTCTCTACCCATTCATCTACTGATGGACAGTTAGATTGCTTCCATATCTTGGCTACTGTAAATAATGCTGTAATAAACATATGGCTGGTTTGGCTCAGGTGGTTGGAACGTTGTCCTGTACACCGGAAGGCCTCAGATTGATTCCTGGACAGGGCACACACCTAGGTTGTGGGTTCGGTCCCCAGTTGGGGCGTGTACAAGAAGCAGCCCATTGATTTGTCTCTCAAGTCAATAAACATATCCTCAGATGAGGAATGAATAAATAAATAAGTCCTCTTTAAAAAGGCAGACACACCCCGGCCGGGTGTGGCTCAGCGGTTAAGCGTCGACCTAGGATCCAGGCGATAGGGGTTCGATTCCCGGTCAGGGCACATGCCCGGGTTGCAGGCTCAATCAATGGCTCTCTCATCATTGATGTTTCTATCTCTCTCTCTCTCCCTCTCCTTTCCTCTCTCTGAAATCAATAAAGATATATTTAAAAAAAAAAAAAAAGCACACACATATGGATGTATATGTCTTTTCAATTTAGTGTTTTTGGTTTCTTCAGATAAATACCCATAAGTGGAATTGCTGATCCTTCTCTCTTTTTTATAGTCTTTGTTTTAAAGTCTGTTTTTGTCAGGTATAAGTATTGCTACCCCAGATTTTTGGTTGGTTTGTTTCCATTTTCATGAAATGTCTTTTTCTATCCCTTTTCTTTCGATCTATGTTTGTCCATCTGAAGTGAGTCTCTTGTAGACAGCATATGTAAGGGTCTTGCCTTGTTATCCATTCAGCCTCTGTATATCTTTTGATTGGAGCATTTAAAGTAATTGTTGATATATATGTATTTATTGCCATTTTATTCATATTTTTATCTTTTTTTTTTTCCTTCTTCATCTTAAAGAAGACCCTTTAACATTTCTTTGTAATAATAGTTTGGTGGTGATGAATTCCTTTAGCTTTTTCTTGTCTGGGAAGCTCTTTATCTTCCTTCAATTCTAAATGATAGCTGTGCTGGATAGAGTCATCTTGGTTTTAGGTCCTTGCTTTTCATCACTTTGAGTATTTCTTGCCAATTCCTTCTGGCCTGCAAAATTTCTGTTGAGAAATTAGCTGACAGTCTATGGGAGCTCCCTTGTATGTAACTAACTGCTTTTCTCTCTTTTTAATCCTCACTCAAAGACATGTTTATTGATTTTTACAAAGAGGGAGGGAGAGAGAAATATCAATTGTCTTCCACAAGTGCCTCAATCAGGGATCAAACCCTGCAACCTAGGTGTGTGCCCTGACAGGTGTATGGGACAACACTCCAACCAACTGAGCCACCCAGCCAGGGCCTAACTGCTTTTCTCTTGCCGCTTTTAAGATTCTTTGTCTTTAACCTTTGGCATTTTTATTATGATATGTCTTGGTGTGGGCCTTTTGAGTTCATTTTGTATGGGACTCTCTGCCCTTCCTGGACTTATATGTCTATTTCCTTCACCAGGTTAGGAAAGTTTTCCATCATTATTTTTTCAAATAGGTTTTCAATATCTTGTTCTCTCTGTTCTCCTTATGGCACCCCCATGATGAGGGTGTTGGTATGCTTGAAGTTATCCCAGAAGCTCCTTACAATATCTTCTTTTTTTTTTTTTAATTCTTTTTTTTTTAATGTTCTGATTGGGTGTTTTCTGCTTCCTTATCTTCCAAATCGGTGATTTGATTCTCTGCTTCATTTACTCTACTGTTGATTCTCTGTAATGTATCCTTCATTTCAGTTAGTGAATTCTTTATTTCTGATTGGTTCTTTTTTATGTTTTCTATCTCCACTTTTTTTTTTTAATCCTCACCCAAAGA